AATCTGGTACCTCTGGCGGTCGCACTGGTGCGTGGTGATCTATGCCCACAGACCTCTCTTACCAGAAACTCGAGCAGGAGCTCCGGCACATGAGGCGTTATAAAGCCCTCGACTCTGATGGTCTTTCTCCATCTCTATTTAAGGATGATGGTGCTTCGTTGGTTTGGTCGAAAGAAGAAGTTCCATCATCTTGGGGTGAATCAATAGTCACCCCCATCTTCAAAAAGGCCTGCGCACAATCTGCCCCAACTACATGCATAAGCTTAGTCACCGTCGTTTGCAAGCTGCTGGTGTCCATCATACTTCGCAGGCTATCCCCAACGCGCGAATCGTTGCACCGAGAAGAGCAAGTTGGGTTTCGCTCTGGTCGCGGTTACATCGATCAAATCTTCACACTACGCCAGATCCTCGAGCTCCGCCATGTGTATCAGTAGCCAACGATTGCTGTGTTCTTAGATATCTGTGCGGCCTTCGATTATGTCGATTGCACTGTACTGTGGCACTGCCTACTGAGGAATGGTGTCCCCTAGAAGTTCGTCTCCACACTTCGCGCTCTCTATAGTCTGACGTTGGGCAGGGTTAGGGTTTATGGAAAGCTTTCGCCTAACTTTGTGGTCTCCAGTGGAGTTAGACAAGGATGCCCTATCTTTCCGTTCCTATTCAGCATTGCCATTGAGGATGTCCTGAAGAACGCTCTGGGCGATTCGTTGAACGCTGGCGTTAAGCTGCTCCAAGGTAATCGAGTTGTTGATTTGAATTATACTGAGGATATCCTCTTGCTGAGTGACCATCCAAATGTCGTCCAATTTGCACTAAGCCGCTTGGCGATTGAAGCATCAAAGTATGGTATGTACCTTTCGCCATCCAAATGTAAGCCCCTCAATTACATTGTGCACCTTACCAAGAATTTCGTGTGCAGGACGCGTTTCTGACTCTGTGCTACATGATTAGGTGAGACAGAAACACACGGGGTAAGAACGAGTGTAGCCCGAGTAAATAGGATTTATTCAGCCATAACGTGGTAAAAGGCCGAGAACATATGATAACCGATATGTGTGCATGCAGTTTCGTGAATTTGATCCTTCGACTGCACCGACTTCTCACGGTGCACATAGACACGGTCTATAGTACGTGGTTGAAAACACACAGAAAGATATTTTTGGTAGGCGAATCGCACTGCATAAAGGTGTTAAGCAAACTTGTGGCAATACGTACCCTTAAAATTCATACCAGAAAAGCCCCTCTCTTTGCTGGAATCTAGGGAATCAGGCACAAGCAGTACACCAGCACTTTGTGCGGAAGCTTCGCTGCATAGAGACTTAAATCGATTGTGCACGGGCTAGCACACTGCGAAAGTGTCGCATAAAAACCGACGTCTCAGCGGGTTCAAAAGCATAGCCCATCTCAATGGCTTGTCATTTATGTTGTTCGCTACTACGGTGAAAAGAAAGGAGGTTGGCATGAGGCCTGTACGCTCCTTGTCTAACAACATCATCTAAGCGATTTACCGTTATTTGTTCACCGCAAATGTTGCAATCGCACAAACGATCGTCGATGGCGGGCGAGCGTATGGTGCGCCGAGGCTGGTGGTGGTTAGATCCTGACACATGTTCTACACACTGCTGCTACTGTTGTGCCATTTGCTCATGTCCTGGACGTCTCCTCGTGGCGACCGCTGGGTGGGAGTTGGGTTCCGCCCTTCTCCCTGCTGAGATCCAGGACACCAATCCGCATGAGTCAGTGAACTGACCATGTGCTAGATCCGATGCCTTTCGGGTGTTCATTTAATCGAAGGCTTTGGCTGAGGACCTGAGTCCTTCTCCTGTTAAGAGTGGGCGCCCTGCCAGTGTCCTAGTCCATCCTCTTCGGAGGTTAGGAAGTGGTCGTTGGCCCTCTTCCCGTAAAACCTAGCCCTGGGAGACAACAGGTCTATGGGTTATAAGCTCACAGCTCGATTGGATTAGAGCACGAGTGCCATGCATTGTCTCTGACGATGGCAGGACACCTCCTGGTGTTCAATGGTTTGCTACTGCCCGCCTCAAGCCAGGCAGCCCCTAGTCAAATTGGTGCAAACCCGCCAAAACCCACCTGCGTCTGGCCGTGGTCGCAGGTGCGTATCCTACTACGGTCGCAAAACATATATGAATCGTTCCAGTACCTCCAAGGCTGCGTGTGACGGCCGTCAAGCAGATCCCAATCTGTTAGAAATCCGTGAGAATATTTGTAGCTCGGGATGCGGATGAGGGTATGCGGGTGTTCTCCGAGCTGGCAGCCAAATCAGCCAGCTCGGAGAACACCCGCATACCCTCAGATCCCAATCTGTCTCTGCAACCACATTCCCGAGCTGGATCTGCTCCCCACTGCCTTGTGGGTCAGGTTATTGAGCCATAGCCTCCGGGCGGAGTTCCTCAAGCAAACCTCCAAATCATCCACTGCCTTGTGGGTCAGGCTATTGAGCCAAAGGCTCCGGGTGGAGTCCCTCAAACAAACCTCCGAAGCACCACGACCACCTCGCGTGCGATTGCCTACCAATGCAATCGTATGCCTGTGCGCAAACCACTCAGCATCGGGTGCTGGAACGTGCGATCACTGCTGGATCGGAACTCCAGCGAGCGCCCCGAGCGACGCACTGCACTGGTCGCGATGGAGCTGGCGCGCTACCACATCGATATTGCGGCGCTCAGTGAAACTCGGCTCGCTTAGCAAGGTAAGTTGCATGAAGCAGGTGCTGGTTACACATTCTACTGGGTGGGCAACGCCGCCTCAGCACTACGTGATCATGTTGTCGGATTTGCAATATCTGATCGCCTTCATGGCCTGCTGGTGGGTGAACCAACGGGCATCAGCGCGCGACTGACGACCGTTCGCCTACAACTCGGAAGATGTAAGTTTGCCGCTTTTATAAGCACGTACGGTCCGACCATGTGTTATCGTGATGACACGCGTTATCAGTTTTACACTGAGCTACCCTCTGTGGTACGTTCTGTGCCAAGGAGCGACCGACTATTTCTGGTGGGTGATTTAAACGCGCGCGTTGGGCGTGATGCATCAGCGTGGGCAGATGTTATCGGTGCGCAATCGACTTGTCTCAATGCAGCGAAGCTTCCGCACAAAGTGCTGGTGTACTGCTTGTGCATGATTTTCTAGATTCCAGAAAAGAGGGGCTTTTCTGGTGTGAATATTAAGGGTACGTATTGCCACAAGTTTGCTTAACACCTTGCGATTCGCCTACCAAAAATATCTTTCTGTGTGTTTTCAACCACGTACTATAGACCGTGTCTATGTGCACCGTGAGAAGTCGGTGCAGTCGAAGGATCGAATTCACGAAACTGCATGCACACATATCGGTTATCATATGTTCTCGGCCTTTTACCACGTTATGGCTGAATAAATCCTATTTACTCGGGCTACACTCGTTCTTACCCGGTGTGTTTCTGTCTCACCTAATCATGTAGCACAGAGTCAGAAACGCGTCCTGCACACGAAATTCTTGGTAAGGTGCACAATGTAATTGAGTAGAAATAAGACGTGATACAACTGTATGCAAAGCGCCATCTCAATGGAAGGATGTCTGACAACTCTTTGCAAACCGTGACGCGACGTCAGATGCTCATGGCTTGATACCATTCATTCCTCCGTGCGGTCACATTCTCTCTGACCTTGTACTCAGACAGGATGTAACCTAATAATTCCCATCGCACATATGTGCTTACACTCATTAGATTCAGCTTAACCGGCGCTATTTAGTTCCGGAATCCTTCGGATCTAACTTATGTGGATCACCTTTTAATTTCACATCGCAGCTTTCGCAACATTCCAAAAGAAACGCGCGCAGTTTTCCAAATCCGGATCCGCACAGCAACATTTGTGGTTTCAAATGGAAGCCAAATCCGGGATCTTATGACGAGTCAACAACCACAAACTTTCAGCCGCTAACTAAAGGAGCTATCGATCATTATTTTATCCTTTATTGCTCGGTCGCTTTGTTTACATCTCAGAGTTAATTCTGAGCGAACGACCGAGTCGCTTAAATCTGCCGCGCTAACCCCTGTGACGCATTGCAGCGTGCTACGGGCGTGCTGACATAGAGCACAGCCAATTCTGCGCACAGGGGACTGACAGGGCAGCCACGCACACCGAGTACTAGGTATGGTCGAGCGCTCAGCGACAGACACGCGAGGCATTGGGTTGTGGCGACTAATCGAAAGAAACCGAGCGTAATGTGACAAAGGTGCAATTTGTACGTAGCTTTCCTTCATGCCGGAACTTTGTACGAACAGGGATCCAATGTTCTGATTACTTCAGCAAATGTTCTGTTGGATGTGCTAAGCTAACTGTAAACCAACTGTGGCTACCCAATGGCAGACCAGATTCTCCGTGGTTTATCCCATTGGTCATGTTTAGGTAAGAGCTCTGTCAGAAATCGGAACGACTGGTAGCAACGCTTGAGCAAGTACAAAGTACCTTAATGGCTTCCTTTGAAGAAAATGTGATAGGGAGTGTGCCGCGTTTCTTCGCAATATCTTCGGGTTCAAAGTGGATGAAGGGGCAGGGCGGAGGGTTAAAACTGCGTCAAATGTAGCTCTGAACCTTAATACCATCAGTTGTCCGTATACACTAAATGCGGTCAACTACCGCTTGTCCGATGTGATAAGTTAAGGCCAAGACCTCGTTCATACTCGAAACTATTCCGAAATTATACTAGAGCGTCGAAACGGTTATTGATTGAAAAAGTATTGCTACGCATGGTGCCCGGAAACGTAGGCATTCAGTTGCTCTTATTGGACCCCAAAATATCTGAGGGATGCGAACTCAACCGTAATACCAAAGCTTTGTGTGCCTCCACTGCGTGTCTTCAAGTCAGATGTCACCAGCGGAACAATTCAGGAGTTATAGTAACATCCCTGTTTTCCTTGACCATTTGTGCCCGTGTGCTTAATGATGTCCCATTATGTCTGCGATTCTACTTTATTTTGAGCCTGTTTATCATCGGTCCTTAGCTCGCGGAGCTTACATCTGCCCGAAAAACGATTGCCTGTGGGGATCCAACTGATCGGTCCGTTGGCAATGCGAATGTTCGTGGTCCTCTCAGCCTTTTGTTTTGCTATTGGCCAGGTTGTGAGAAGTCCGTTGAGAAGGTGCCTTTCAGAAGTGCGTAAGTTATCTTTTTGCGATTCCATATGCTGTCACATATATAAATATAAATATATAAATATATATATATATATGTATATATATATATGTTACTGATATCTTCATGACGTCTGTGACATACGGTGACTTCCAAATCTGCCGGCCAACAGACACAAGAAATAGTTTATTTTTATGATCGTAGATCTATGTACCCATAACTTGATTTGTCAGTTTTCCCGTGAAAATTTTGCCTTGTCTATCGATCTCTCAATCGCGTCTCTGATAAGCGTGTTCGCCGGAAGCTTAAGAAATAAAGTGACTGCTATGGGTCGAAGAGGGTCCAAAGCACAGAAATCTTAAAGTAGTTGAGTTTAGATTCTAATTATTGCTGCAGAGTAAAGGAGGAGGGATAGTGAGAAACTAGATTTTGTTGTGGCCGGTATAGTACTGTAGCATCAGTAGTCAGCGCGCTTTTCCAACGCGAAGAATTAAGGCGATGATTGACGTGTTAAACGAAATGAGATGCAAATGGAAGCAATTGTTCAGACGCACGGGAAAGTAGAACCGTAGGTGAGCTTGCCTTTTGTACGCCCATCACACCAGTGTTCTGCCAGCGCGTTTTTCAGAATGACCACCCTTGCTGGTTCCGTGAAGTTGATGCGCATAGTAACCGAAAGTGGGCTTTGCTGCGTGTCGGCGCGCTGCCCACTCAGGTCAGCTGCAATGTATGTCTTTGCTCTGTTTTTCTTTCAATGTGATTCGTTGTTTTTCCTACCTATGGTCCATGTGTTTGCTGGATTCTCGTCTTGCCCAGCTGCGCCATACAAGATAATGGTGCCTGCTTGCTTCCCACAACTGTGGCTCCACCCAGCTTTAAGCTCCACCGGTTATAATGGTGCTTTATTTTTCAGAGTAACAAATGTTCAAGGCCTGAGGTTTGTTTGATGTCCGAAGTTTTCATCGGGGATTGGACAGGCTGGAGTGTCCAGCACTCACGACCGCAATCCTCACACAGTTTATGCATTCCGTTACCTTGGTGATTTTACACGTATACGCGTTGACGTAGCTATTTCTTAATCTAGTAAATGTTACTAGGCACGGTCATCAACTTCAACTCAGCGCATACGATGGGGTTAATAACGACGAGTACGAATTGCACCACTCGATAACCAACAAGACTCCTATACATGGGTAAGACGGGTTGTCTGGAATGCGCCACAGTGGAGCGCCGAACGTCTAACTTCTCTTCTTGCACCAAAACACGTGGTTATTGGATCCCAAAAACTGACACAGTTACTACCGTTTATTTCCCTAGCTTTAACTCCACTTTGGTTTTCAATCGTGCAACCAAAGCTGCGGGACGAAAATCTTGCTCAGCACTGAACTTAATCGGATAGTTGTTCTTAGATGGCAAGAACTTAAGCATCGTTGAATAGCATTATCCTTCTCTAGGTGACCAATTTTCTTTATTTTTTATGTTTATTCCACAGGAGCCAATTGAAACGTCACCTACTCACTCATTGCACTCCGAAGCGAGTTTTCTGTGCTGAATGTTCTTTGCAATTTAAAAATACTGAGAACCTCAAACGACACTCGTTGATACATCAAGGTGCGTCCGCATAGTTCTCATTCGTCGATCCTAATACAGTGAACAATTGTTATAACGAACGCCAGTATAACGAGACATTAGGATTAGCGAAATTTTTTATCACCTTATTTTTCTTTCCTAATACATATATGTTAAAACATTTCAGAGGAAAATCAGCTTTTTACAAAAATAGCGGATCCAGAACATGGTGTATCTTTGTTATGTTGGAAAGATACAAAAAATCGCATACGACTACTGTGTGTCATTACTTCCTGTGTGTATTTATTTCAATGTAACGAACGTTCACTATAAGTAGGTAATTTCCGAAGTTCCCAAATTTTCACTCTACTGATATTTCACTGTATATGGTATTGTATTTTAGGCAATTGTTTGAATTCTCTTGATGAAGTCTATGTTTTACATCTTGCCAACCGCACCTGTACACGAAATGCTGCTATTTCAAACTTCAGGCAATATTTTCTCGCTCTAAGCAGATCACAAAGACCAGAAATAATCATACTAATACCCCGTTTGATGAGCCTTTCGTTCATTTATAATCAGGATTTCTCTGCCCCGAATTTTCATTTGATCTCCGTCAGCGAACCACCGCACCTCATTTTTGCATTGGCACCAGTTCTTACATTCGTACAAATTGCGTGGGTGCTTCGCACTATTTCACCGCCAGCAACTTTCTTTCTTAACTGTTAGGTTTCCAGTTTTCTAACGATTCTGAGCGAAAACGATCTCGTTCACCGCAGCATTCCAATTCAAGGCAAACTCAGATGTCAATCGCATAGAAGTAAAGGCATATTTGCTTAATAAAATATGTCTTTTATCAAATACATTCGAATAATCCACCTCGATGAGCGTTTAACGTGATTCGATGGTTTGTGTGCTTCAGTGATCCATTGAACTATGCTGGTTGGTGCTTTTTGCAACTTCAGAGCCACTGATACCAGATTGGTCAATAGTTAGAGACCAGACAAACTCAGTCTCCTGACCCTCCAGTTTGGGGGTTAGAGTTAGGGTGGCTCCTTACTCCATAAAACGGGCGCTCTTTAGTCCAGTGCATATACCCCGCGGTCTTGCGGTCGGGTTTTTAAACCAAAAGCTTTGGTTGAGAACCCTAATCATTCCCCTGTCTAGGCATGGGAAACCAGACAGTACGCAATACAACTCAATGACTTTTCCTTCTAACAATCCCTTGATGGTCTGGTCGTCGCAGAGGATAATCAACGGCGGCCTACCGGTTGCATCGAGCATGGTGGATAGTGGTTTGGATGCTACTGCTCAGGTCTTCCCGTCTTCTTATTCCCGCTCTTGCGCTTTTTCATCCTTAGCGTCCCGTTACAACTTCACTTTTATCCCTCCGTTTTCAATCCCCCAATTCTTGGCCCTCCCCCACCTTGCTTCAATAGTCATTTGTCTTTTGGTTCCAACTGACCCACAATCGCAGGCCGTCGCTCCCATCCCATCGACAAGTACATTTTCAACCGAGCGGACAACGTCAGATCATATGTTTTCTGTTGGACTTCTCGATCCTCGCTAAGATTGGTATGCCTCAATGTGCGCACTTTGTTGCAGATTGGCCAACACTGGAGACTCTATCGATCGATATTGTCTGTTTATCTGAACGCTGTCTGCAAGATTTAATAAGTAAATAAATGTATGGTTTATTCTCGTCGGTGCTAGCACCCCATGAAAGACACCATCATGGTGTTATAAGCGGCTAATATCAGTGATACTGCAGCATTGTTGCGATTTAACTAATATATCATGAATATATGTAGGTGTGTTTGTTTTATGTATGTGGGTGCATTTGTGAGTAATCGTGTTGTGTGACTTTGTTTGTATTACTGCGGATTTGTGATTTTGTTCGGTGAACGCGTCGATATAGGAAGTGATCAGATGAATTCTTTGAACTGGTTGACGTTTGCGGAACGTGTATAATTCTCCGGTATGGCAAGGCAGTGATGTTATTTAGTGGCGAGTCATATCCGCCACGTTACAGTATTGTTATGCAGGCATTTGTGGCTTTTTATACGGAGAACGCTTGTCAAGCGAAATCCCAACGCATCCTGGAACACTTCCGCCGAACTATTAGCTGGACCGGAACTAACCCGGACCACCCAGCTGGCACCACTTGGAGGTTGTTCGGCCAGCGGGCCACCGAGCTCCGTGCTAACTCTGCAATAACCCACTAGCGACAGTGGCGGCGCATTCTCATTACGCTTTACTTGACGATGACGCAGCTCCAAATGCGTCTCAAGCCGGTATCGGCATCGTTTTGAGTCCCCGGGCTGATGCCGCCCTGATCCACTGGATCCCTGTCAACCGCCGGATTCGCGCCGTTAGAATAGTTGGTTCGTTCCAGGCTTCGTTGTCACGCGGGGACAAACGGTGCCTGTTTGTCATTGCGACCTGCACCTCCACAAACTGCAGCACTGCTTCGAGGAAATTTGATTTCTATCACCAACTTATCGATCTCCTTCGTTACAAAAGAAGCACGGATACTGTTGTGCTGCTTGGTGATCTAAATGTCCAAGTCGGAAAATTGTCCTCTGATGAGCTTTATTTAAACGGCCAACATGATGTATGCGCCCAATGATAACGGTGAGCGATTGCTGCACCTGTGTGACGGTGCTCGTCTCTTTCTCTCGAAAACAAACTTTCGACACAGCACCTGCAGAAAAGTGACTTGGCGTTCATCAGCCATGGATGCAGATCGATCATACCACCATCACTTACCGCTGGAGAGACCGTGTGCAAAACTGTCGCTCAATTTGGAGCACGAGCGTGGACTCCGGTTACGCTGTTGTATATGCTGAGCTTCCGGTGCGTTTCGGCAGAGGTCCGCAACCTTGCTGCGAGAGCATTGACACCAGCCAGCTAGCGATGCCAGGTGTTCAGAATGCTTAATCAAATACGCCGGCGTCCGGGCTATATATATATATATATATATATATATATATGTGTATATATATATATATATATATATATATATATATATATATCCTGTGTAAACCTGTAGTACTAAGACCGAGAGGCATGTGGATGGGAGCCACGTTTCATCAACAGTGCCGGTCCGCACATCTTCACAGGCAAACACAAACACGATGTACTTGGGGATTCAATCGCATGTTCTAGTAACGTAAGTTCGGTATCCCGACATGCCGCTTCCCAATACTTAGCTGACCATATAATAGTCGTTTCGGTATGCGCTTCGAATCCATGGTTGGTTGGCGGCATCCCGTTTCGGATTTTTTCTGTTACTGTGGGCTCCACAGGGACAGCGACAAGACGCCTGCGCCTACAGAGGGACCATGGGTGGCTTGCGCTGCACTGCCCACACCTCCAGCTACACACCCTATATCCAATGTGAACTAATTAATGAGAGACATGTGGATGGGAGCCACGTTTCATCAAGGGAGCCGACCCACACTCCTACACAGGCAAACTGAAGTACGCTGTTTTTGGGGAATCAAAAGCATACAATGCGGTTGTTGGACCGTGGTTCTCTCCACTGAGTGCATGGAACCACTCTTTGTGCGTAGCACAGCCACAAGGACCGTGCACCCTGTCTCCTACAGCAACGACCAACTGTTTCCTGTAGCCAGTATGGACGAGGTAGTGGGTAATAGCCAGGTAGACACCTTGTCAACATGCACATCAAGCGCAGCCACACCCGGGATCTCAAGCAACAGCTAATCACTTGAAATAACATGATCGAAAATGTATATATGTTAAAGCATACCTCTATGCAAACATCTCTTCCCTAACTTAGCATGTAAAGTAAGTTGGTCATCAACGGATAAGCGACAAGTACAAAATGTTGCTGCTACCGTTCATGTTTTAGGAGTATGCGCCGACTCCGTTAATAAAACATGGCTCCTATGCGCATGCCTCCCGGTCTTACTCCCGTGGGTTTACACTGGGTATGGAGTGTGTGACTGGAGCTATGGATGTCGCAGCCCAAGCTACTCATGGTCCTTCTGTTGGCGCAGCCTTCCTACGTCTGTCCTATTGAGGCCGCAATGACAGAGGAATCGGAAACCGGATGCCGTCAACTATATATACTCTTATTGGGTCCTTTGTTTGGGCTACAGGTGTGCTTGTAGTAGACCACATGCTGCCGGCTGATCATCAGTTTGACATACTTGTGTTACCAGAATAATAGTTTTGTACTTATTTCTGCTCATTCACAGACAGGTATATTTGAACAAAAACAAGACGGCTGTTTCTGATAAGGTCCGTGGAGACTTTCGCTTTACCACCCGTTTCGAATGCGTTGTAGACCCCAAGAAATAAAACCCATTGACATGTGAATGGTACGACGATAGTTTCGTACTCGACGCACACCGCATCGCGTGCGTGTGGCAGCGTATCCGGGAAATGACTGCATTTCAAGACTGGATGCGATACTTTACTGTGCGCATATTGTGTACCATTTACTCGTATAGCATCCATGCATGCTGGTACCACACTTGCACCGGATGATGGTTTGGCCGTGCTCCGTTCTGTGACAGAACCACTATTTTAGCCTAGCGCTGTGCTCTTCATTCTCTCTTAGACGATTTGTGCCTTCCTGGAATCAGAAATCCAGAAGACGGCAATGGATGTCTTCGCACCTGTTCTATCTTTATATAGTAAACGCCCAAACTTCAGCGAGCACTCAAAGGTATACGGTTTGATTATCCGTCTCATCCACTGATATAACCTATGGTTACTTTTAGGGACCCTGAAACACATTGGTTAGTAATCAGAGACCCAACGAACTGTCTCATGATGAACTTAACCATTAGACGGTCTCAGGATGCGCCACACCGGTGATTGTAGGCCCTATCGCACATGGGGCGGTCATGACGTCAGTGGTGATCCTGCATTCGGTTTCGTGCATGTAGCCATAGACCTACTTGTTCTTCTGCTCTAATTTGGCTTCTGTAGCGCTTTCTATGCCCCAACATAACCATAACTATTTCATTAAAATGTTCCCTACATCATAAGCCCTCGCTTGCACTCACCGCATACGGCAGGGTGGCTAAGCGAAAACACGCAACCGATTATTCATCTCTTCGTTGTTTATTATATATTTCTGTCAGTCCTGAATTTATTTTTCTATTCCACAACGCAAATCACAACATTTGCTGTTTTGCTGGAATTCTCTCCTTTGATGTGTCGCCGCGCAACTGCTGCTCAAACCCCACGCAACTTCTCAAAACCCAAAACCGCAGATGAGAACGCCAAGACTAGCTGAGGCGGAACAGAATCGTATGCATGGAGAATACTGCGGTACAAATAGGGGCGAAGCAAAGCTACCAAACACTTGGGACTTGATCGATAATGTAGATGTTAACTGATACAGATCAATGAAACCCCAACCGGGTTCGTCTTGAGTTGAATTTAACTGATGACCCTAAGTAGGGCTGCACTGAATATCTTGTGGAGTACTATTTCCAAAATGCGACGATAGATTACATGCTTGTGTGTTTGCTTCTTTCCTCTTACATTGGAAACTATTATGACTTCACCACGCACAATCTAGCTTTATTGACTTGCAGTTGCAGTTTATCAGAAGTGGGGTGCAGAACGACTAGACGATGCTCCGGCTACGTTGGGCTCATGCGAATGCAGCGTCACTGCGCAAACTGTGGGCGATTGTACGAGTCCTCTTGACCATTGACGTCGTTCGCCTCGATGAAAACCGGTGACCCAGTTTCCCCTGTCACACTATCGGTCTTCGCTTCTTTTAGGTGGGGGTGTGTGTGCCAACTTATGCCGCTGCACGACTATTTGAACAGTGTAGGTTATCATGACACTACCAAAGGCAGCTTCCTGAGTCAATTGAAGACAGTATATGATGATAGGTGGATCCTGTTCTCGCTCAACCGCTGCTGAAACTGAACCAAAGTCTCTTCGGAATGCCGTTCTGCGGTCTCTTCATCGCGCTGCAGCGCATCGGGAGTCAGCTACTCCCTGTTGTTTCCTCCACATTTGCGCTGTGTGTTCGTGCCTCCTCTCCTGTAGGCTATGATGATGTTCCATATCGTGCTCTTGCTGACATTGGCGACTTCATCCGTTTCATGGGTGGGTTTGCCGTCGACGAATACAAGCTTGATGAAGATCTCTCTGTGTGCCGATGGCGTCCGCTAGTACCGCTGTAGTGTCGGAGGTGCGTTCTCTCCTTGTTCATTTTGGTCTTTTCGTGCAGCACACGGCTAGGGTGACTTTGGTGGAGTCATGATAACTTACACAGTTTTAATAGTCGTGCAGCTGCATAGGTTCGCCTACCCACCCACTTAAAGTAGACGAAGGCCCATTGAGTGACAGGGGAAACTGGGCCACCGGGTCTGATAGTGGTGGACAGCATCCATGATCAAGAGAAAGGCTTGCACAATCGTCCATTGCTCGCACAGATGCGTTGCATTCGCGTGAGCCCAATGTGGCCGGAACATCGTCCAGTCGCCTTACTGTCCTTTGTTTCATAACAAATTGTAGCAGTAGGCTATAACAGCTATACTGGGTTTGGTGGAGTCATGCTAGCCTGCACTGTTCCAATTGTAGAGCAGACGCATAGCTTCTCCCACACCCCCACACAAAATACATTAAGGCCCACAAAGTACCAGAGGACAACTGGATCACAGCCTATCTGTATCATCAGTTACGGCCCCAGTAATCGAATTGTGCAGTCTACTTCAGTGGGAATCGCAGTCCACATTGATATGGCACATCGCAATCCATTCACAAAACCAGTGCTTCACAATGACCCTCCGATGCTAGGTACTATTTATTTAAGTCACAACGTACTACGCAATTCGGGAGTTCGACTTTCCACTAGTCACATAGCTACACTGGTTCATGCATGAAGGAACCGGCACATAAACTACGCGAAGGCCGATGGGAAGAGAGGGGGACACTCAGTCACCGCCTTTGATCGAGGTTCATGATCAAGAGATAGGTTTGCAGTGGCACCCGCTGCTTACTCAATTCGGTTTCATTTGCATGACTACAATGTGGTCTGGACATCGTCTAGTCGCCTTACTCCACATTTGTTTCTAGAAAATTGCTGGTTTTCTGCTTAAGATATATAGTATGTCCAGTTCGGATTTTGTTTTGCGAAATGTCCAGTGTGGTTTGAAAAACGTTCATTTTAAAAGGAAAGTGATGCGCTACACATAACTCTTCTCATGACACATGGTGCGTGCTATAAGCTCGGGGTGTTCGGTTGTCTTTGAACCGTTTCGGTTGTGAGCCATTACTGCGTTCGCAAACCTTACGTTGATTCATTACGCGTAGACTTTAACACTGTGATTGTTGAGCTGACTCGAGTTATCCTAGATTCTCTTACTCTAGTGCCTGGTCGTACGTCCAACTTAATTGGGCTCACAGGAGCATGTGAACTGATAGATTAGGATCGTTTATCCAGTCTTTGAACTTAGGAACACTTACGGGTTTACTCCTAGATCCCACATTCAAGTCGGACGCATCAAAATTCTTTTTGTTGCTTTACAGTAGTCTATGCTACAGACTTCAGCAGCATTGTTTCCTTTGAAGGGGGCCACAAATAGCTGCTTCTTTGCGACGGTTTGTGTTAGCATTTTTGGACTGTTTCGCTTTATATGGGTGTCAATGAAGCGCTCCGGATATCCGTTCTCAAGAAGTCCTCAATGGGATTTTCACTGCAGATTTTGCATGCACGGCTTCTTATACAATTTTATTCGCATTGATTCATCGCTTCGTCTGGTCAGACGCGTCCAAGAAATTCGTCGAATTGGTTCTTTCCTTCGCCTGCAAAGGTGCTATTTAGTTACGCCTTGTTGTAACAACCGATTATGTTTTGCAAGTTGACAATTTGCTATATTTTTGACGCTGACACCAACTCCATGACACAGCCGAGGAGTTCGGTCCTCGAGGCAGAGTCATTGAAAGCGCTGATCGTGCCTGGTATGTTTGGCCAACGTTTCTAAGTTTTCATCGGCCTTGCCTTGTAATTCAACATTCACCGGGCAGTATTGCAATGCACTCAGTCGCGTGACAGTGAAACGTCGGTACGGTTTGGTCGCGTGCTACTGATGCTACTTTGTTTTTCCTCCATCAAACTGCTTTGTTTGCACAACCCTGGCGTTGTCACTATTCACCCACTATTCCACCGCGTCTTTCGGACGTCATGATCTGAGAGACGATGCAGATGGGTGAACATCCGCTGTCCTTATCACTCTCTTCGTGCCTACCTGCTACCTGCGGCGACGTGTTTTTTTGTTGTTGCCAGTACTTCGCCCAGCTGAGGTGGGACCCCGTAGTAGTGAGTCAGCAACATGGCGAAGGAGCATGGGAATGTGTTACCAGAATGTCCGTCAGATTGACTCCTGTCGACTTTTGGATCTCGTCGCTGTTTCGATGCCTAATCGGATATGGCGCTGCAGCAAGTCACTGGCTCTTTTGCCTTCGGTCCCGCCTACCAATTTTATTACTTGTCCATTCACTCTGAATTATTGTTATTATTATTTATTTATTATTCTGGTGACCTTAGTGAGGGCAATCGGATTCCGAGTACTTGGGCACACGGATGATAGTGAGCAAACTGAGCCGAACTGAACTACTGTCGTCGTACGAAGTGTTTTGTTTTTTACTGACTTGATACATCCAATTCGTGCATAAACAATTTCCGACGGTTCATCGAATCTGGATTGTATGGAAATTTATATAGGATCACAGACTATGTGCCGCATGGGAAGGATAGATCAGTGATAGATCTGAAAGAACTTTTAACTCGACTGGATCATACGTGAGGCGGCCATCAAGTACCATATGTCCGCACAAAGGTTGTCAGCTGTTGGAGTCGGAAGTTTCGGGACTGCTAATTCGCTTCTCTTGCAAGCTGACTGCAGACCGTCACTGTTTTGAAGTGGGGTTCCAATAGCCCTAGATCACTTCGCCAACCCTCACGGAGCGCAGTGGAACGTCTGAGTCAGATCAAACACGCCTTGGTTTGCAGGCATCCTTTGGTGCCAATGACAGCTTAGTTGGTTACCTTTGCCTACTTTTGCCCACAGAAATCGTTACTGTGACAATCAGATGACTACCATAGGTACGACGTTGTCTGTTTCCCCAAGTAGCGTTGTTCCGTTTCTGATAAATTATGGTCCGTACGATTATGAGGTGTGATTTCTATCTTTTCACAGGGCTACTCGTTTCATTTGCTCCATTAGCTCGAAGCGAATCGTGCACTACTTATGCACGCACATTTGATGGCTCATTTTGTTGCTTTTCCCCTACCGCATTATGACTGAGTGATTGGATTGGTCATTTGCTCGAGCCTACGTAAGTGTGAACGACCCCCAAGTACCCCTGACCCGCGCGTGACTGGTGATGGCTACATGGCAGCGCTAGTTTCGTACGATGGACCGGCGTAGTGCTGATTTCTTTTATCCTCCCACTATATTGGCAAACCGTTCGTCCCGTTGATTTTCCTCACGAAGGCTCAAGCGTGCATTGGCTCATTGTAACGCTTTCATGCCTTCCAGACCCAAAGCGACTGGAAAGACCACCGAAACGAAAATCAACAGAATCTTTGCACAGTTCGATCCGGTTTTCTTCATCACAACGATGCGACAGTTGTGGCACGTCTTTACCTTGTTTGTATTTAGTAAAGGTGGCAGACGTGCAGTAGTAAATGCTCCTCTTTCAGAACGACCTGGCACTTTGACCTCTCCTACTTTCAGTGGTTATATTAGCGTCACTTCATCGTGCTATCGTATTTGTCTTTCCACGGCTGCCGTTTCGCATTTGCTGACCTAATACACCTCGCACTTTGTAGGTGTAAAACCGTATGCTTGCGAAATATGTTATCGCACGTTTGGTCGAACTTCTGGCCGATCGCTTTGCCGCAAACGGCACCGACTCGCTTCGCGCAATCAGGGTCCCGATCAAGTTGGTTCGAACGACGGGCCATCGTTATCTGCACTTGAACTAGAAGTGGCCCTTGATCGTGTCCGTCCACGACCCTATACGTGTTCCATCTGCGGTGATGGTAAATCGTACACAGATCCGGGCTCTCTACGGAAGCACAAGCGTCAATATCACTCGGCACCAATTGAACTAACGTCTAAGGAGTTCCAATCCATGCCTGATGCAACGAAATCTCCCGAATCAGTTGACCCGGTGAGTCTGTTTACATAATCATGCTCTTCTTCGTTTTGAACAATAATTGCAGATTCGGACTAGTATTTGCCACACCTCTCGCATTCGTGTAAATTATACCAACAATTTAAAATTTCTGTTCGAGCTGTTTGATTACTCTGGAAACGGTTCATGGCAACCTGAGCCACCAACATTGGATCTTTAACGTTGGGCGACAGTTTGCGTGCCCCTTTAACCCATTGAGCTATACTGGGTGATGCCTCTGGACTCCTTGAGAACTACTCCTGCCAAGTTGGTCAATGGTTAGAGGTCATACACACTCAATTTCCTAGCCCTCCAAGTTGGTAGTTGGAACTGGGATGACATTCATTTCTGTAAAATCCAATCATTACCACATGCCCGCTGCCTTGCGCACAGACGTTTGAGCGAAAGACTTTGGTTGAGAACACTAATCGTCCTCTTGTTTCGGTCTGGGCACCCTGGCGGTTTCTCAGCCCACATACAACTATGACAATCACCTCAAACTTCAGCTACATGCTGCATCGGCCATCGCGCAGCTTATTAAGGGTCGACTCATCTGCTGCATACAGCAGGGCTAGTAACCGAAAGCATTTCACTACTGGCGATAATTTTCTGTGACTACGGATGTGGGTTAAAGCAGCACCAGAGTGTTGAGCGTTTGATGATGATGCGTCTTCAAGAACCACCGTGTTTGAGTGGTTTGCGGGATCCAAGCGTTACAGGCGGTGGCTGGATGATGAAGCACGGTGTGGTCGACCTGTGGAGGCCACCGCTGCGGAGGACATTCCTGCTGTGCCAGCGATGTTGAAGGAGAACGCGCGAGTGACTGTGATACAGCTGTGGAAAGCCATCGGAATCAATCCGCACCATCCTACATGAGAACCTCGGCCTGGGAAAGGTTTGCGCACGCTGGATGCTCCATCAGTTTAGTGAGGACCAGAAGGTAGGTTGGGTGAATTGGTGCTGCACCATGCCAGGTTTGATGGCGGGCGTTCCGATGCTGTTTGGGAGATCCTGAGTAGTGATGAGATCTGGGTGTACAATTTCGGCCTAGCGACCAAGCAATAATTGGCTCAGTGGACGGCTGTTGGTGGGGCGCTGCCTTGAAGATTCCGGCCTGAGCGCAGTGTGACCAAGCAGTTGGTGGCTGTGTTCGTGGCCAAGACTAGTCATGTGGCTATTGCACTGCTCGTACGACAACGTACAGTCACCGAAAATTGCTATGCCACCTACTTTCTGCCACAAATGCCGGAAGCTGTAGCCAGGCATCGTCCAAGGACTGGAGCTCGGGGGGACGTTGTTGCATCATGATTAGACATCTACACACAGGTTTAATATGGTGGTCGATTTTTTGGCTAGAGAACGCATCTAGGAGGTTGGACAGCCATCCTACAGTCCAGACCTGGCTCCGTGTGACTTTTTTGTCTTCCCGGATGATGCGTGGAATCCACTATGTGTCTCCAGACGCTGCCGTAGTGGCCTTTATTGGGCTACACGCTTCAGCATGGTTTAGCTGCTTCTCGAAATGCTTTAATCGCATGAACGCCGGTGGAGAGTACTTCACGGAAATGTGATGCTTTCTAAAATATACAACTTTTTATGCATCCGGAAACTTATTACTGTCTCCTCGTATAGATAGGTATGTATTGCGACTATGATAATTTGTCGTTTACGGTGCGCATTACTTGTAGGGTTACCGATGCTTTCCTTATGTATCTTCAGTTTGACATGCTGGCGCTAGCCGAGATTGCACGCTATGGTTTCGGCGAGGTGAAGCAGCCGGGTGACTAATTGGTCATTACTCCCAATTAGGCAACCTTGATAGTGAGACTTCCATTGAAGTCAATTACTCTTGCTTCCGCCCTGCTTTTATTTTTGTCCTACGTCAATTCTCGCTGCTCCACCGATTTCCTTTATTTAGGTACGATTTTTGTGTCGACCATTTAATCTGTTTCTTTGTACCAGTGACACCTTGACAACTTAGACTACTTGTTCTCTCTTCTGTTTCTGTTATTAGATTACTTGCGTCTCCGCCGGTGCTAACTAACGGACTTTGTGTTTATTGGGACGACGTTGTTCTCGGTGTTATCATTAGAAATTATGCACTCAAATCTGTGCCGCATACTGGCTGTAGGTGTTTGAATTGCCTTCATAATTATTTCAGGGCCATTAGACAACATTTGAGAGTGCGTTAAATTTGTATTATTTTAAGGTGCGTTTTCACAGACCACAACAGTTTGGGTCACATTCAGCGCTGGATCATTTCAATATCTGACATTATTCGTATGGCAACGAACACGGATACTGCGATGAACTTTTGTTGACATGGGTTCTCATGTGCCTTTTCTCTCGGTTCGGTTATGATGCTTATGTCACTGACAATGAAGATCACTTTCTTAAGTTGTTCTAGAGTTCATCCGTTGTGCAGTCTCAACAATTACGCCTTCTGATCTACCACTTGACATCAACTATCCTGAACCTGATTTGCTCATTTTACTATCGGTCTGTGCACTTCCCTCCAGATCTTTATCGCTCCTAAGTATGCACTCAAATGGTACTCACTAACTTGGCGGAACACTTAGTATTTTCCTGCCTAAACTCGCATTTATATATGCTTCGCTGTCAGTCACAGCTCGGATATACGGCACCATCATCGAACAATATGCTTAATCGTATCAGCGTTTAGAATAGTCTCCGTCGTTGTTTAATCACTCCGATGGCAGGGCCACGTGTTGCACATGCCAGATCATCGACTTCCGCGTTGTGCATTGTTTGCGTGTCAAAGGTGCAGTTGGAATAGAAGGATTGAGTCCAAGCGATGACTTGTTCAAGCGAAATGAAACCCTCACTTTGAAGTTGGCGTCGGTTGATGCATCCCAACTGCCTGGCTCGGGTCCCAAAGTCGATAAGCACGTTTGGTTGGTTGGACACCCATCGCAGTGGGACTGAACCTTAACGCGATGCGATGGTTTGTGTACCTCAGCGATCCATTGAGCTATGCTGGTTGGTGCTTTTTGCAACTTCAGAGCCACTCATACCAGATTAGTCAATAGTGCGAGGCCAGATAAACTCAGCCTCCTGACCCTCCAGTTTGGGATTTGGAGATAGGGTGGCTCCTTACACCATAAAACGAGCCCTCTGTAATCCGATGCTTAAACCCTGCGGTCTTGCGGTCAGGTTTTTGAACCGAAAGCTTTGGTTGAGAACCCCATTTCATTCCCCTGTCTAGGCCTGGGTATCCAGACAGTATTATGTCTACGCAATACAACTCAAGGGCTTTTTTCACTGCTCGCGGAGCTCAATGGCCTAGGGATCATGGCGATAGCCGCTAAGCACTATGCGCCGAGTTCCACTCCTAGCTCGGCTATCTCTACCTGATGAGTCTAAATAAAGACGAAACCGTCGGTCGTGGTGTGCATGGATAGGAGAGAGCCACACCGCAACCCTCAATGGCTTTTTCTTCTACCAATCTCTTGATGGTCTGGTCGTCGCAGAGGATAATCAACGGCGGCCTATCTGTTGCATCGAGCAGGGTGGATAGGGGTTTGGATGCTACTGCTCGAGCCTTTCCCCTACCTCCGGGTGCGTTTTGGTGGACGTTCACAACGGTGCTATGAACGCATGGATATTTGCCAAGTGGCGAAGCCAGATGCTCTGGACGCGTATCAAAGTACGCTAGCATCTGAACTGAGTAAACGTCCATTGAACACAGTTGAAGAACACTAGTCGCATATACCCTAGACGTTAATAGCAACAGGCACGTCTTCATGTGGTAATTCAAACTGCTAATTTGGTCTTTACACAGTCTCTGGATCCTATGGATACGTGCCGACGTCTTCTGGCTGGGAGCGAATACAATGTGACTCTGAAAGTTCTTAGCGCGAAACTACTTGCTAGCCAGATAAGAGGCCGCGAAGATTGCTGATCCATCGTGCTTCGGAGATGGAAACGGCCACTGCCCTTGGTAATCATCGTAAGTTATTCCTTTTGATACGAGAAACGGGCAGCAGGAAACGTGTTAGCTAGACGATACGTGACGAGAGTGGATGTCCGATCCACAGGTTGACAAAGCGCTTGGAGTGTTGTGCCGAACATTTTTAGAAACAGTTTCATCATTTAGAGTTGGTAGTTTCTCCATCGGTCAATCAACGCCCTATTCCCTAGGCCCTTCCCTTAGATGCGCCCTTGCGCGTAGTAATCGAATGTGAAATCAGACGGCTGAAATTGAACAAGCCCGGCTGAGGAGATGGACTTCCTCCAGCCCTCATCAAATTCGATGGACCTGCTCTTTTGGACGATATACATAACTTACTAGTGAATCTCTTGAAGCAGGAGACTGTCCCCACAGGTTAGAGTCGCTCCGTCATAGTTCCAATTCTCAAAAGAAGCTCCCATTCGGAATCCCACAGTGATAAAGGAATCAGTCTGATCTCCATTGCCTCTAAGTTGCCCGCGTCATTCGTCCTCCTTAGACTGTCTGGTACTCATGAAAGCTAGATGCGCGAGGAGCAGGCCGGGTTTCGTCGAAATCGAGGCTGCCTCGACCACATCTTCACATTACGTCAGTTGTTGGAGCGCCGCCATTTTTATTGGCCACCTGCCGTTGTTGTATTCTTAGACATCAAAAGGCCTTTGATTCGCTTGATCGATGTGCCCTTTGGAACTGTTTACTTAGGAAAGTTGTCTACGAAATATGTATAAGTTATCCGAGCGCTGTACGCGCGTAGCTCGGACAGAGTGAGGGCTTATGGCAATCTGTCACTTCTTTACAATGTCTTCAGCGGTGTGAGACAAGGTTGCACACTCTCACCTTTCCTCCTTAACTTCCCCATTGACGAAGTCATGGAAAAGGTGTTCGTCGTGCACGACTTGGAAGATGCGGAGCTGTTTTTTGGTGAACGACTTCTCGACTTGGAGTGTGACGACGACATTGCTCTCATTTGTGACAACACCCGAACGTGCCAAGCTGCACTGCATCAATTAGCTCTGGCTGTCAGTCGTTTCGTGCTTTACTTCGCACCATCGAAATGCAAAGTCCTTCTCCAAAATTGGTAGGGACCCACTCTTGCACTGACCTTTGGCGATGATAATTTGAAGTTGTCGAACAGTTCAAGTATCGGGGCAGTCATATCAGCGTCAGTGGAACGGAAGATAAGATCACGAATCGTATATTAAAAGCTCGATGTGCTTTTGCCAATCTCCGTCATCTGTGGCGCCTGCGTTACATTACTCTTGCTCCGAAAGGCAGAGTTTGCAATGCAGCCGTCCGTACAACCCTCCTGTGCTGCTGTGAAACGTGGGCATCAAGTCGAAAGGTATATGGTGGCTAGCTACGTTCAATCATCGCTGCCTTGGCAGTCTGGTGAGAGCACTACATGAGCAATGAGCTTGTTCGGCGTCGCATATTTGGTATAGGAAGATCGAGTGAACCGCTCAGCACCATTACCTGACGCACCAGGCTCCCATGGCTGGGCCACGTGTTACGCATGCCAACCCACCGACTCCCGCGACGTGAGTCTTTTTTGCGCTGCCGGGGTCTGAATGGAAGAGAAGGAGGGGAGGCCAAGTAATGACTTGGCCAAGAGGAATGAAAATCCTCACTTTGAAGTTGGCGTCGATTGGTGCATCCCGACTACCTGGCTGGGGTACGTAGGATGATGAACACATTTGGTTGGATACCGTTGCTGATATGGCGTAGAGTCAACCTCAATGACGTGTGTGTTGTGCGTCTCTTTGTCCCTCCTCTTCCCTTCTGCTTCCCTCTTCAACAACCAAACACGTGATATTAGCAATTTGTTACCTTTTTTATAGCTTTCAAGTGTACATTGCTTGATGTCTTAGCACATTATCTGTTTTTCACCTCCGGCTAATATGCATTGATGGTGATGATGACGACGATAACGACGATTTCGATGGTGATGAATATTGAATACTGAAATTAGAGAGCAAGAAGACATAACTCTGCTGCTCCGTCGTATTGTGTTGGTGATGATGTAGTGGAGGAGGAGGAATAATGCGTTCAAAGTGTTATTACGTAGCAGGAACCCAGTGATTTTGGCAATCAGTGAAGCGTTGCTGATTAGAGCTTATCAACTTGTACTATGTGCACAGAAACTCTTGAGGCAATCAACCAGCTTGTCTTGGTCTTACTTTTGACAGTTTAATTGGTGTGCCAATTTTTCCCATGTATATATATATATATATATATGTCTGTGTTTCTGCTTGTATTGTGTATGCGACTGATGAGAACAATCAAAATGTCGTCATATCGCAGTCTATGTATTCTTTCTGCTTTGATAAAGTGGCTGAAGGGGACCCAATGTTTTACCTATGATATGTCGCAGATATCCATTTAAACAGGCTGCGACGGAGTAGTTGTGATTTATCACTACGTAAAGTCACTGCCCCTTACCTCATTTCTCTGGAGCGTTCTAGTTCAGTGGATGAGTACTGAAATTATGAGGAGCACTTGGTCTCCATTTGGCATTTCACCAAAGCCACCACTGGTTTGCGTTCTCTTCTTGTTGTATTTTGCTAGCATTGGCAGAATGCCTATCTTCAGCCACTTGCATCAACGTTTATTCAACCATTTCTGTTGCGACCATCTAATGAATGGTTTCGATGGCCATTTATTTGGTGTTGACCATTCGATTCTCTTTGTGTCACCGGCTGTTTGTTCGGCCTATATTATCCATTTTGGCTTGTTCAAGTTGTTCCCTTGTCCATTGTGCTATGCTCTTAATCTTTTCCTTGCTTGCTTATGTCTAATCCCAACTTGGGTCGAGTGATAATGCGCGTTCGTCTAGCTGGCGGATCCATCGTATCACTGCTCGGACATTCCATTTTGTTATTCCGCCTCGCTCGTCGTAGTATGTATGTCGACCCTTAGCCACGAAGGTACAAGGCAGCGTGAGAACCCCAGACAGTGTCCTCACCATCTGACGTGATACAGGACACCAGAACTGAAGCTAGGCCTTGTGTGTGTGTGTGTGTGTGTGTGTGTATGTAAACGCGTGACAGTAATGTGTCATCGGCGACTTGCCAGCAGCGCGTGTATTCGTCCCGTTGCTTCAAGTTATTCTTTCAGATAACAGATTTTGGTTCATGCTTGCATTGTCTTATTGCGGTAGTGTCAATTTAAAGACATGGATCATGGATGATTAACTACAGTATGCTTGCAATTTTTTCCAGCAATACTTTGACTGGGTTAGCTGCCATCAGGGAAGTCCACCATTTCTCGTCCAGCATCTTATTTTCGTATCATATTTTTCACCTTCACTTTTTGCGTTCACAGATAGTGCCTATCTTGCCAATGCTTATTTACGATGCTGCGATCTTCGGTGCGTTTCCTCCTACTTGTGCTATCCTTGCGTAATCCTGGGTATCCTTATCAGCTATACTCATTTTCACTGATCCTACTTTTAATTCTTATCCACTTTGTCTCTTCGCAGCCCGATCCACATTGTCTCCCAGTAGCGATTGCCCCCACCGCTGTTGATCCACCTACACCAATCTATAACAAACCAACAGCGGTGCAATTCGACGAAGACATAGCCTTGGATTTGACGGAACCGCAATACTGTCCATCTTCTCTCACCGATGAATGCGCTATCGATCTTTCCGGGGATTCTACTTTCGGGCTGTCTTCTGCTCCTGACCCGATCGATCTCAGCTCTTCACACCATACGTATCCTCAGGTGACATACGACGCAAACCTTTCTACGGAGGAGCGTTTGATCTTACAGCGGACTAGATCACAGCAACACCCGCTCAACTGGGACCCGGAACCCGGTTTCAGCTTTACCGATCTTTTAACAAACATGGAGCTCGATGAAGTGGGCGCTGCTTTTCCAGATCAAGTTGTTTTACTCCACGACTTATCACCGAGCTGTCCTTCTTCGAAATCCCACTTTCTGTCCCCTGCTTTGGACCTCCGATTAATTCATAGTTCTTTCCCCTGATTATGATCGCTGTCGACATGCCGTGTACAATGTGACAATAGAACGTTCGATAGCATACTTTTGACCCACTTATCGTCGGGATTTATTCAAGATGCTGTTTCTTGCACGATTTCGTCTTTCCGTTCACTACTACTTTACGCTTCACAGCCTCTTGAGGAAGCGCTATACACCTGGTATTGGGTTATGCATTCTTTGCTGTTGTAAAAATGCCCCCACGATTTTACCTGTCTCTTTGATAGCAACCTGCCTCCCTTTTTTCCTCAGAATCTGAAATCCATCACAGCGAAACCAGTCCGTAACATGGTACCATGGTTTTCGTTCCTTCATGAACCAGGAGCTGCGCTAATATGCTGTATCCATATACATTTATACCAAGTTTGTTAGATGTCCTAGGTCGCACAGTTTCGCTCTTGACATGCATGTCAAGCGTGCATGTTTCACATGTGTTTTTAAAAATGCGGTGGGATCTTTTCCACTAAGTCCTAACTATGGAAACCGAATTTGGCCGGTCAAAAGCTCATCGTGACTGCCATGAAATTCGAACACCGGAGACTGATTCCGACGTCACAGCTGTTGTTCAGTGTTCAACTGCCACCAGCCTCTGTGGAGTGGAACTCGGCAACACCTGCGTTCGTCTACGTTCGAACCCATACGCTAACTGTTATGCATCTTCCAGGTCAAGTTTTACCGGGTTCAGACGTTCTCTCAACCTCCGAGGCCGCATCCTCGACCGATGCATGGTCTCCAACTCCTTTAATAATCGGACTGCCTCCCTCAGAAAAAACAACATTTATGCTCCCTTACCTTATGGGTTAACCTAATAAATTAGGGGACAAAAGCGGATCCCACAAACAAACCCACTTTCGGAATTGATAACACCATCCACATCCAGAGTTCCGTTACCGGTGGTTTTTTTCTCCATCACTCATTTTTCCTACTGCATTCTTGAGTTCGAGAATATTTCCGAGTTCACAACGCACGCTGAACCGTCGTTCATATCATCCTTTTGCTTTACACCGAGTTATGACCTTGACCTTCGCAACTGCTTCCCTTGGGGTAGGTGCGTGCTGTATATCCGGATCACGCTAATGTCGGAAGTAACCTGGATTACGTGTTTGGGGCATTGATCTCAACACACTCACGGAGGGCAATCTGTAGGATGTGATTCCATAGAATTGTCGTAGACGACCTAGTCACTTTCGGTGTTTTATCAGAGAAAATTGGCGACGTTTTGGTACGCAACACATTTGTGATTTTTATGCGCGCTTCGACGCATTAATGCTAGATTATCTTGACTTCGCGCATGCTTTATTCGTGTGGGCTACGGATGTGGACATAGTGTTCGAAGATTACTGGCATGAGGTCCCATTCGGGTCGTCCTTCATAGATCTATCCAACCCAGTGCTTCTCCGAACATGTGGCGATTATCTGACTGAGTCGGTGTGTTTCATCGTCCATGCTGATCTCACTCGTTATCTTTGTTGATTCTCTTCACCCTATGTTATTCACAATCTCCATCACGTCCACATGGTTTTTTCCTGCATGCATCCACATCAGATTAGTTGGTGCCATGTCGACACTACGCCCTCTTGATTTTAAACTTACCATTTGTCCATTGCCCCTTACTTTCCAAGTGTCGAACTCACGCGTTGGGCTGCACGGGGCAGCTTCTTTCTGACTATTTCCATTCCTCATTTTACAACCAGAACTCCCCATTTACTTATATCGTTACACCTTTTTTCTCACTAATTCTTTTGCCTCCGCCATAATGGACTGTTCAGCCTTCTGCCCTGGAGTACTCGATTTCCAGGCTCCCACCGCTTCGCATATTTCTTGACTATCCTTTACTTATCGCTACTGATTCTGACGAGTTTAATGTAGGAGAACTCTGTTTGAAGTATTTCTTGCGACCGTCGATCTCCAACTCTCGCGCAATACGTGGAGCACTATGGACATATTGATTCCACCGATGGTCCACAGAGTGATTCATCCGTATTGACATTTGTTCCAACATGCTGGCATGACGTTCCATTTAACAACTACCCTATCTCCGTAGACCTTGGCCGAAACTAAGTGATATCGTTCAGATTCACTTTTCGCCCTCACTCTGATGTCCGGCACGACTTGACCGCGGGAAATATAGGTCAACAGAATTACATAATCTTCCTACTCTTTCACCACCCGATATTTGTTATGTACGCTAGCTTCTTGCATGCCATCAAATTACATGGCTGTGAATGTTGATATTTCTTCTCAATTGGTGATTTTTTGTCAATTTTCCTCTATCCTACCGCATTTTAACCCCGTCGACATTCCTTTTGTTGGATCACAACCCGCAGTTGTTCACCTCTCGGCATCCCCTCTCCTGAGTTCAACTCACACTCTCACTTTTTTCCACTTTTGTGAGGTCACGAGCGTTGGGGCTAACGCCACCTTATTTTTACGCCATAATCAGTTTTGGCGATTTGACTCCAGCTAGTTGTGGCACTGCTGGCGTCGCACCAGGTTTGCCGTTTTTTTTCAAAATTCATTCTGAGATCCTTTGTGTCTGAATTGCCACCTTTTCTTTTCAAGCACTACCTTTTCTTGTTAGGTAATTTGCATCGCAAACCGAATCCGTGGAAACATCTCTAAGCACGTTCCGGTTTCACCCTTCGCTTTTCTTTTGATCAACGCGTCATAAGTGCCTCGAATAGTCTGTCTTTTCAATGTATGGACAGACGCTTCTGAAACATCATGTTTAGAACCCAGTTAAACATGGCCAACAAGGATGACAAGCTGGTATACCAACTGTCGACCAATAAATAGGTCTGTCGTCTAGCTTTAGCAGCCGGAATAAGACCGATAACTCAATTTCCGTGAAGTAGCGGACATTTTAAAGACTCCCGCAGACCGTTATTTACCGTTGGTTGGCGATACAATTCTCTTCGAAACACTGCTTTTAGCGGTTTCCGATCATGGTGTGAGTGCTTGTTCCTCGGTTTCTTTGATGTTGCAATCTACCAGCCGACCTAATTCATCGGCTCCGTTGCTGACGCAATAACCCTTATTTTCAGTAATAAATTCCATTTCTTCTTGTACTCCTGGCATTCGGTTAACGAGACTCATTATAATGCAGCGGTGCCGTTATCTTCATGGATTGATGAGTTATTGCTTCCGGATGTATTCTCATAACTAGAGCTCGTGTGGCACCGTTTTAAATGTAAGGGAAGTCGTCGTAGGTAAATATAACACCTAGTCTGACTAGTGCTGTTCACACCGAGGATTGTGACACCGAGTCTTCCTCTTTAGCTTTTCAAATTACGGACACACAACCTTTGTATTTCCAGGTCAACTTTGATTATTTCATCCCACCTTTTATGTTGTATCCCTTATGGATAGATCTTGGAGGTTCAGTACAACTCGCCGGTGTGCTATTGGCAATTACCCGCAAATCGGTGTGCTACTTTCAAATCTATTCTATGCGTATATCGACCAATGTTCCATCCAACTCCCACATCTGTTTAGACATGTTGACGTGTACTACCATGCTGATTACATGAGATCTGCACTTCACATTAAAATCTGTTATGGACTAAGTTTTTTCCAGGCGGCATGTCTACATTCACGGAATTTATGAATTGTGTTCCTTTTTACCTTGCACAGTCGCGTTTAATTCCGAGCAGGGTTTTCGGTGACTGTTTTTGTCCCCACACTTCTCACATGGGATGGCTTATTGATCCTCAAGTTATATGGAATCAAAATATTGCATACCTTTTTTGGCCATATACGCTTTATGGACTGCTGGAACAGCCACACCTGCCATATACTTTACGGATCTTCTTCCGCCGGAAATCCTTGTATCACGCGAATCTTTGTGCGAAATCCCCTCTGATCCATCGCGACATGCAGAGCGTGTCGGTGCTGCTCTGTTTTCACTTACCTTATCGAAGCGACCACAAATTACTGTCTCCCTTGCTTTTTGGGACTGTAGATTCTGATGAAATTTCAGCATACGTATCTCAAAGCTTTCTTGTACTCGTTGTCTTACTTCTTACTGTTTTCGTTCTGTTTGGCAGTGACGCTCTTCTGACCCATTCGGTTTGCATATTTCCAAGTTTGTTTGTACTTTCTCCTCGCTGTTCGCTTTGCGACAGCCGAATCCGCTTCATTTCGATACTGTGGTGGCAGCATGATCAACTTTTTAGTTGAGCAAACCTGCAATCAGCTGACTGATGTTGTATGCCAGATATTTCCAGTCAGATGCTGAACTGTGCATTCAGACCGCACGTTTATCGTTGAAATTGTGGACCCATCTTCGTTTTTCACTGAGAACATAGGCTTTGCTTTCAAAATTATTGTTATCACACAAACAAAAAATATCCTGTGTTGCTCACAGTCAATGTCTTCCTTGTAACACCGCGTGCGCCATACTCCTAGTTGGTGCTGTCACCGTGCACTTTTGAGCTTGTGCATTACGGGATGTCTACTCGCCTGGAAGTTTTTGTGTTGGAATCATTTCAGCTTCTTTTCTACATTTCTTGAGTGTAAATCTAAATAATTTTTGTTTGTTCTACTGTTGTTTATCTATATTTCATCCTTGCGATAACGAAATAGTACCCACATAGACTCCGCTCCTCCACTGCTCCCAACTTTTCGTCTGCTACTTCAATGTCCTCGATAGCTTCCTTCTACTCGTGCAATGCTTTGGAACTTATTTCTCACAATTCCTCTGCACTACTGCAAACCAAATTTCCCATTGACGCTTCTTATCTGACTGATGGCGGTCACTGTTTCTTCCTTTGCTAAAACTCCTCGTTAGTTAACACCTTTGTCTTAGCTTTCGCGACATTTATCCTAATACGACTGACCACACATGTCACCGTCCCTGTTGTTGCGGATGATGGTCAGCGGCATTCAAATCACTGGTCAGTAGAATCGTGTGCAACTAATTGAGAAACCATGTAGCTCGGGGTGGGAATTAGAGGGCTATTTTGTTCTCCGAGCTGGGTGTTTCAGTTGCAGGCGTTTCGTTGCCAAGCTAGGAAACAGCATCAGTGCGGCTTTCAAAGTTTGAATCGCCGAGTCTCGTGAGCCAATGCCAGATCCGGATTTGGCAACGAAATGTCTGCAACTGAAACGCCCAGCTCGGAGAACAAAACCTTCTAAGAATCGTATGCTTCCAAACTTGACTGGTACATTTTTCATTCTGTTCCTTTACCCTCTTAGTATTTTGCTATGACTTCTACTGGGTTGCGCCACGTGTTATCACGGACTGGGAACAACTCTCCTAGTCGGACGAACGAACGTGATGCAGTATTTTATCCACGCAGGACAATGTAGCCAGAATTCCAAAATCGTACAGCCCGTGAGACTTAAGCGCAACACGATTTCTATACACAAATTGAACGGGTTCCTAGACTGAACGCAGACCACACGCGACTACCCGACCCCGAGTGAAATAAGAACAGAAGACAGGGTCTTGGCAACAGGCACTTTCACCAACCGGGCGGAAGGCAATTACAGCGTTGTCCAGCCTTGCTTATATACTGCGATTGGTGAAACATTTTTTTTACGTATAATAGTTTGCGTAGGCTTACCGTGGAAGCAAGGTATCAGCTTGTGAATTAGCACTATGTGAATACGCCAAAAGTCAGTAAACGGAACATGTTGGTAAGTAAATGTTGGAAATTGCGGAAGTTGGCCGGAAAAATGAGCGTAGAGGCTGCTCGAACATGTGCACTGACCTGAATCCGAGTCCCAGTGACTTATGTGGTTTCAGCTTACGATCATGTAGTGACCTTCGGTCCCCATGACATTTATGACCGATGAGTGCAGCTGAAACTTTCTCCAAATAGTTACCAATTTCTTGGTTGGCTCTAATTTAATCTACTTTCAGATGAACCATTTAGTCTGCCTTTTTCATAGCCACCCGAAAAAATTTCCTTTCACCTATTCCTTCCCTCTACGCTCCTGTAACAAGTCAGGCGCTTGACTTGAAGCTTCAGCTTCGAGTCCTTGCTCTTGCATAGATTTTACTGCCTATCCCTCATGCAACCACCTGAAATTGTATCGCTGCGAATCATTTGCACGTAGTGTCGGTGTGCTGCCGATACCATTTATGTCGGCTGGTGGCCGAAAGGACAATGCTTCTGTTTTGCAAGCTGTATGTCACTGGTTCGAGCCTGCGTACAGGTCGGGCGACCCTCGCAGTATCCTTAACCCACTCGCGCTGGTGGTGGTTGCATGGCAGCGAAGCGTCGATTCGGTGTACAGCTGTTGCGTTGTCTTGAGTGACGAAGGCGTGTATCCGTTCTCCATCCTAGTACATAGTGTTTGCCTTGTGTGCACCTGTCTTCTTGTATTATTGAAAGGAAGCGACTTTATTCTCCTTTTTAGTTTATGAAGACGGACAATTCCTCCGATTTATCAAACGATTGTGATCAGCATGATATCATTCGACAGTGTCTGCACACCACGAATTTCGGAGAACTCTTACTTTGGTCCCCAGAAGGTGTGTTTTGTCAACTCAAACTGCTGTTTTCAACCACCTCCCTGTATACAGATTGCGAACTTTCGTGCCCTGTTGCAGACTTTTTCTAACACAGTAGGTATTTTACCCACAGTCACCATTGTACTCAGCGACTGTTGTTTGTGAACAGTCTCGGGCACAGTCTCCGCATTTGCCTTCTGTTGGCGACGGATCCCATTTTCCTTGTTTGCTAGAATCAGCTTCGCTCGTATTTAATGAGACTAGAAACAGACAACTTTAAATGTCAATCTTGGCCGGTTGCAATTATCACTTGGCTGTATAGCTTTACATTTTTGTCCAGTCACATTTTCCGCTCCCTTTGTTCCAACCTGGAGAAACCGGAGCACACGAGTATGCCAGTTAAATCCACTGTGCATCTTTCCCAATTTTAGGCAGCGGTACATTTGAACTTTTACCTCTGAACCTCGTCTTTTCTCTTTCATTCTATTCTCAGCGAAGATACCCCTTGTCTCTAATTTTCTCCGTGTTTTTATTGATTCTTTATTAAAATCAGACAACTTATTCGTATGAACAGTTGTCACGATGACACTGATCACATCGAATAGTTTTACTGTCTGTCACGTTCTTGGTATCTGTCAACCACACTATCAACAACAGAGTGGGAACGTTGACGATCGTTGATAGAAAGTGTATCACCGAGTAGGAAAACCCGGAGTAACCGAGTGGTTTAACAGTGGGAATGATGGGTGCCACAGTGCAGGTTGAAATGATTAAAAATTAGTCATAGTTGAAGAACATGAATGTCAAGATGGATGATTTCTTTAGGAGGCATCTTTCCTAACACTGTCAATCATCACAAACTGGTGCGGTCCGTATTCCATCATCACAGGTTTTCACCTTAGCGTAACGCCTTGATCTGCTTCCCTTCATACTCCATCAAGTTAAATCCGAGGGCAGTTTCTTACTTCCCACATTGTATGTCATTGATCAGAGGTCAGAAAATGCAGTCCCGTCATCGTGCACATCGGAATCTGTGTCAATGTTGGCGACTATAGCCGACGACTGTTTAAGCACTATGTGCTCATCTCGACTGGCGTATAAGACTAGCGTCCTAGATTGCTTCTGATGGGGGGAGAGCACAGGCCTTGCTCATTGGCTTGTCATTGCTCGTCTCAAGTCAGGCATTCTCTTTTCAATGCGGTGGAAACCTACCCAAACCTACTTGCGGTTGACCGCGGCCATAGGCGTCGGTCTAAAAAGTATCCGAAGCTGTTTACACCTAAAATTGCTCGTGACGGGCCCAAGCATGGCTACCTTAACGCTCTCATCTCATCGTATTTGGGAAAACATGGTCCTTACGATTAACCTGCATGCTAAATTGGTTTCTATCGAAATGCACTCATCGTCTATGAGGCTTTTTCCCGATTTTACTTCTCCCTTGCTGATGTAGTTTTGCACCTGTGTCAACAGTGCTTATATTCAACATACGATACTTGATAGCTTTCCCGGGCTCAACAAACGAATAACTATTATACACGCACATTAACTCTTGCCACCTGTTACACTTACCGCACATACGCACCCCCCTGTCGTGCCTCATTACTCGTACGTATGATCCTCAGCGTGTCATAAACCCCAGGGAGGATTGACTAGGTCGTGAACTTAGTGGCAATTTCGTACCCATTGTCTTACTTTTGGTTATATGTGATCAACTTGTGTCTATATGTAAACACTAGTATTCGGAGTTAAACGCTGTTTTCCCCTTCTGGCTACACTATCAGGCACGCTCCTCATTCGATAGGATCCAAGTTACTAAAACACGCTACTTTGAAGTCACGCAACTCGTACGCGCTATTCTGCCAATGCGATTTGTGGGAATAAATGCAGGATTTCTAGAGTCCATACTGTTCTACGCCTAACCAGCGTCAGATGGAAAGAAGCGTAATCGGTAACACTTAGTCGTTTGTTTGTTTGCTGTCGTATTAAATATCCCACATTACTTTCCTTTTCGATCTGTTTCTTGCAAGAGCACTTGTTTTTGGTTATTTTGACATACTTTTATTCTGTCTGGTAAAGTAATTTCCAGACAGTACGGCTTGCATGTTTTATCATGTGTCGTCTATATTTTGTCCCGGAGTATCTCATTATATTTCTAATTTTAAGTACATCACTTCTGGAATCAGTCAGACAGCCGTCACTTGTCGGGAAATCGTCAGCATTGCGCATTGATTTCGATGCGCATCTCGAGAGCACGCCTCCCTTTTTCTAGGCTGAGGCACTTGTGACGTCGCACGACATTCGTCTCTCCATCAGAAGGCGTGTCTATCATGCAACTGTTCGTGCTGTACTGTTGTACGGATGCGAGAACTGGCCCATTCGTACAGATGGTTTGCTCAGGCTATCCGTCTTCGAGCACCGCTGTTTGCAGTCCATTGCCCGTGTGTGGTGGCGGCACTATATAAGCTATGTGGAAGTTAGACAGCGTGTCTTGGGACCTGGAAGCCACTCGCTCGAGGAGCTCGTAACACTGCATCAACTACGGTTGTTGGGACACGTATTGCCCATGCCTGTACAGCGTTACCCTTGTAATGCGTTGTTTGCGGTTGCTGAACAGGGCTGGAAGAGACGGTCTGGTGCACAGCCTACAACATGGAGAAGCCGCATGAAAAAGCTGGCAAAACAGTTGGCCTCGGCCGGTTGTGGTCGCCTACCTGGTTGGAGTCCGAGAGATGCGGATACTTGCTGGTTGCAGACCTTGGAAGCCATGGCTCAAGATCGATGTCAATGGCGGACGTGTGCATCGGTGTGTTGCGGTGTCCTTTCTTCCTTCCCCTAAAAACCATTTCAAAAAGTATGACTGGTAAACTGGACAAAAAAAGCTCTTGTTATTGCTATTTTCGTATTATTCATGCTGTTTTCCTATTCAGCCACGATTCCGATGGCACAATATCTGTACCACAGATTGCATATATATATATATATATATATATATATATATATATATATATATATATATATATATATATATATATGTGGTTGGCGGCATCCGGTTTCGGATTTGCCTATCACTGTGGCCAGCCACAGGACGCCTGCGCCTACAGAGGGACCATGGGTGGCTTGCGCTGCACCACCCACAGCTCCAACTACACACCCCATATCCAGTGTAAAGCCGAAGGAATAAGAGCGGGAGACATGTGGATTGGAGCCACGTTTCATCAACGGAACCGGACCACACTCCTTCACAGGCAAACACAAGCATGCTGTAATTTGGGAATCAAGCGCACACACAAGGCGGTGGCTGGACCGTAGTCCGCTCCACACTGAATGCATGGAACCGCTCTGTGAGCCTAGCACGGCCACAAGGACCGTGCACCCCGTCCCCTCCAGCATCGACCAACTGTCTCCTGGAGCCAGTATGAACGAGGTAGTGGGTAATAGACAGGTAGGCACCTTATCAACATGCACATCAAGCGCAGCCACACCGGGGATATCAAGCAACAGCCAATCACTTGAAACGACAAGCTGAAATAAAATAAATCCAATAATGCGTACTGACATATATATATATATATATATATATATATATATTGCATTTGTCTGCTGTGGAGGCCAGAGCTCGCAACCGTATTCTTACGAGCCCGTGGTTAGGGCCACTGGACTTCGTGGGAAGGCAACCAGCTACATGACTAAGCTACTAGATAAGATATAGCGCCTCTCACTATCCACTAACTTGCAGTGTACTTTTGTGCAGAGGGCAGAACAAATCCTCTAACCGAGCAATGGATTTACCAAATTTAAGCCGCCAATTAACTTAAAACATTATAACCCGTCCGATCTGCTTTTTGACTGCTAGTGAGTAGTAAGGGGATTTAGAAGGTACAATCTGGTTCTTGATTGCCAATGTTTTTTTGATTCCAGAAAATATAACACGGCGACCCAGGGCTTTTCCGGACTTGTGACGGCTCTCCACCTGTCCACTTGTGATGAATTTCAACTTAAACCATTCGATGCCATTATCTCCATAATCACCGTTTTAGTCCATCGTAGTTCCTAGTATCGCTTTTTATGACAGTGGCTATCTTTAATATATTTCTCCTAGCCGCGGAGCTTCTCAGGCGGATTTATCGCATTGTCGGTAGTGCCACTGCTCAGTCCAGAGGTACTCAACAGCAAACTCACCATTCTTATGGCACGTTCGGTCGCTTACCTGTTCTACTTAGTTTCGAGGAATCTGTCCTGCTTCTTTCTCTGGGAATCGTGGAAGGGGTGCGATTGAGTACTTTTGCCCTTGAAGTCTATTCCCCTGAGGTGGATCAGCTTACTCCCGTGGCACTACTACAAAAGTGTTCACATACGGTATGTGCGTCGAACTCTCATTCGCCGGTATCGTACTTCCGTTTATACTTTATTTGTTTAGTTTCAGCCCTTCATTATCTATCGTCGTATTCATGAAGCTAGAAGTTGACTGGTTGCCTGCAGATTCCGAATCACTTATCGTCCTATCTTTGACAGTTTCTTTCTCAAGATGTTGCATTCCAGTCGACCATTCCGCTTGTCATATAAGAATCAGTCATAAATTTCCACGGCTGTTTGGTACCTATTGTAATTGTCACCTTTCTAAATCAGGCCTCATTTCGCCATTCGTTATTCTTAGGTTCTTCACCGTAGCTTTCACCAGTGAACATCCTTGGAAGTGCGTTCCTTGTGGCCAACCATCTGTAACTGCCAGTGATCACTTTCTAGGTATTCTCCCTTTCGGATTCGAACAGCTGTCTTATCCTTAAAGGCGATATTGCATGCCATGCTGTACTGATGACCCTCGCAACGAGACTGGACCTTAACGTGGTGCGATGATCTGCGTACCTCATTGACCCAGTGAGCAACGCTGAGTTGTGCCTCCCCACTCTTTGTGAGATACTCTTATCAGGTTGGTCAATGGTTAGAGGTCAGACAAACTCGATCTCCTGGTCCTCCAGGTCGGGGGTTTGAAATGGGATGGCGTCTATTCCTATAAAACTAAATCATTGCCACCTCCCCGCTGTCTTGCGGACAGGCTTTCAAGCCAAAGGCTTTGGTTGAGGACCCTAATCTTCCTCCTGTCTAGGTCTGGGCCCCCTGGCAGTATCGCAGCCCCATCCAACCATGGCAATTTCTTCGAACTCTAACTGCACCCTGTGTCAGCCGTCGCGCAGCTTATCAAGGGTCACCTTATCTGCTGCATACAGCAGATCAGATAAGCGAAAACCTGCTATTGCGATCGTCTTCCTTCTTCCTTTTTCGCCTGTTTCTCTTACTCTCATACCGCCCCCATTACTAACCTTCCTTCCATAATTCCCAGCTTAATTGACAACAGTCGAAATGCCACTAGAATCACAGCATCTACAGCCACCTTCCCGCAACGCTCATGGACACCTATCATCAACCGTCCCTTATAACGCCACCCTGTCCCGTTTCCCTGGCGGCGTTCAGCGTTCGCTTTCTAAGACAAATAAGTCAACTTGCTGCACTCGCACGCATGTTAGATACACTGAGTATTGATGTGTGTTGCGTCTCCAAAACTAGAATCAATGACCCTAGTGGGGTTGTTGAATTAACTGCGCCTAGCTTGTTCTGTCACTGTTGGTTGCACGCATTCGGGGACGCTGATGCAGCACTCGCGGGTCAATCTGGTGTAGGTATCATTCTAAGCTCCAGCGTTAAGCCATCGTTGGTTGGCTGGACTCCGGTGAACAGCCGTTTGTGTGCAACCCGTTTGACGACATCAACTAAGGTTGATTCACGAAGTAGTACAAAACGCCGTTTGTTTATGGTTTCCGCTTATGCTCCCACCGACTGCAATTCAAATGCTGCCAAGGACACATTCTATCACGAACTGAATGCGCCACTACGCAGTGCTACTAGTACAGATATCATAGTACTTGCAGGGAATATGAACGCACAAGTAAGGCGTCTGAGCTCTTCAGAAGCTTTGCTAAGCGGTAATTACGGGCTTAACTCCGAATGTACGGGCAACGACGAGCATCGTTTGCATCTGTATGCGGAGCACTAGGTTTTTCTTAGTAGCACCGCTTTTAGACATAGTAGACGCCGAAGTGTCACTTGTCGTCCACCTATAACTGTCCAGCGATAGATCCAACTTGATCACCTTGCCATAATTTACAGGTGGCGTGGTACCATCCTGAATTGCCGCTCGTTCTAGAATACCTGCGTCACCTTTGATCATGCCTTGGTACGCTGTCGTTCCTCCATAAACCTTACCTGGGGGCACACCAAACCTCTCCGCCGATTGACGACTAAGAAATTATCTCAGCCTTCGATCAAGTAAGCATATCAAGACGTAATGCGTAGCGAACTTTCGCTCCTAAGGACACAGCGCTTTAATTGAATCGGATTCCGGTCGCTATGCCAGACAGGAGCATCTGCTTGTGGCACCAACAATCGTCACCGCACCAGTCACTGGATATCTTAGAGGTCAATGAGCTTGTTGGAATTCAGAAGAAAACTCCCGGTTAGCTCTAAGCGCAGTGCGACCAGATAGACTATTAGGCGCGAGCTAAAGCGGAGCCTGCGAGTTGACAAGGAAACCTGGTGGACCAGTCGGGCTCAAGAAATAGAGGAGTAGGGAACTATCGCAAACTGTTCCATCTGGTCCTCGCCACTGGTCCCAGGAAACCTGGCATCAGTGAAACAATCAGAAACCGCGCGGGTACACTGATATACAATAAGGAATGCCGTATGGCTCGATTGACAGAACACTTTCAAGATCAGTTCAGCTGGCCCCGGCTCCCGGACCTCTTCCTACTCAGGTGATGCAGGTCGAGCCATGAACGGTTAGTTTAGAGGCCCCATCGGAAGCTGAGTTCCGAAATGAGACCACAGACCTCCATCGTTTTCGTGCCGTTGGCCCGGATTCCCTCCCGCCTGCACTATTTATGGATGAATGTGATGTCTTCTGCAAAGCCCTGACCTCCCTAATCGAACGTATCTGAATGGAGGAGACCGTCCCGGCTAACTGGAGTGAATCGATTATAGTGGATATATACAAGAGAGGTGGTCGCACAGATTACTAACCACAGGGATATTAGCCTAACGCCATTTGTGACAAAATTACTGTACTCGATTCTCGTTCGTCTCTTCACGGTGGAAAGGAAATCTCGAATTAGGGTAGAGCAGGCCGGTTTCCGCCCAGCACGTTGTTGCGGCAGGTGCTAGAGCAGCGCCACGCATATCGCAGACCGACAATAGCGGTATTCCTCGACTTCAAGATTGCCTTCGATCTAGTAGATCGATGTTTGCGCGACACGGTGTTTCCACGAAATATGTGAGCATTTTGCGTGCTCTGTACTCGAACACTCAGGGTCTACGGTGACCTGTGGAATAGCTTTCCGACAACAATTGGCATTCATCACGGCTGTCCGATTTCCCCGTTTTTGTTCAATTTAGTCGTGGATTCCATCATAGAGTGTCCTTTTACGGAATCTGACAGGGCAGGCGTCGAGGTCCTGCCTGGTGAAAGCCTAGTTGATCTTGCTTATGCGGACGATATCATCTTGTTTTTTGACGGTGTTGCGGCAGCACAATCAACCCTGAAGTAATCCGAATTTGCCAGATATGTAACCAGTCATGTCGAGCTCTGAGAGGCACCTTTTCAAATCATGTTATACCGCAGCTCATGCTGTCTCGCCTGTCAAGTTTAAGGGGGTTAAAGATTCACATCCGCTGAGAGTTGGAACCCGAAGACAGTGATCGTTTGAAGACTGCGATCATTGAGCTCAAACGCTGTACAGAAGGTGAAACCTACTTACAAATTGTAAAATTCGGGTGAGCTAAAAGGGTGTACAAACCCGTATCAACCGATTGCTCAACCTCCAGGCACATCTTGCGGTACTTCCCAGGACATACGTATGACATTCGCCGACTTGTGCAGCTTAATGAACAAACGTGACGAAATGTGACGCTTCACTCTCTCTGAGCGGCTGTGCGTTTTAGGAATTACAGAGACTTGGCTGAACTCCGATGTCATACCCAAAGAAGTCGCGTTGTCAGGATACTCTTGTCGTTTCCGATGCGACCGAAAATCACTGGCTCACGGTAATGTTCTGTTGTACATCAAAAAATCGTCACTATCTGGTAAATTTACCAGCACCTATCCTAGGGAGGAGCGAGCAATTGTGGTGCACAATCCGCCTCAGATGCGCAGTACTAATAGCGGGTGTTATCTACCGTAGCCCATTAAACCTTTGTTGCGATTGGCTACCATATATACAGAAGCACATAAGCCGCCATCAGTTCTTACTGATGGGGGATCTAAATTTACTTAACATATTCTGGCCAGACGTTCGCTTACTTCCCGGTCATGGCGACGTTGAGGCTCAATACGTTAAAATGACTATTGAAAACGGAGCAACGCAATATGTCATCAAATCGACGCACGTAACTCCGCACTCGGCCTCTTGTCTGGACCTAATATTTACGAGCTACGAGCAGAAGCTGAAAGAGATCAGAGTCCTCGGACCTCTGGCGAACAGTGACCATTGCTCCATTGTGACAAGCATAGAACTGCCGTTGCCGTATTACAACCACCGGAAGCGGACATTCAACTATCGCAACGGGCTCGTCCAAGTCGCAAGTCAGACTGATTGGACACTACCACAGAATGCGCCGCTTGAGACCTGTTAGTCATTACTGAAGGGGAAGCTTGACTTGCTGTGTACTCGCTTCGTTTCACCCAAGTATTCAAAAGTCGCACCTGTCAAACCATATTGGTTTGATACAAAATATAGACAGTTAACGCGACGGCGTCGCAAACTTTGGGATAGATACATCAGCTCAGGTTGTGAGGAAGATGACATAGTGTACAAAAAATAGCGTAACTTATGTAACGCTGCACAGACCAAGAAACGCCGGCAGTTCGAAGAGGAGCCACCTTATACGGTTTTGTAGATATATCTATCTAAATTCGGACAACACCCTAGCATGTTTACATATTTTGGATGTTATTTGTTTACAGAAATTAGCATGACTTGGTAACGTGGTATTATTTTCTTCAGCTTTATAAATGCAACTTTGCCGAGATAAATACTTGAATGACTTGGCAATTACTTTTAGATCCTTATTCCGGCGGTCATGGAAGACCACCGGAGAGCAGTAGGTCCAATGGGATGACACACACGCAATGCTAAACCCTATGCTCAAGCAACAGGGTACAAATGAACCAGGTGTATGTACGCTTGCGCTGAGACTGGGGACGGAACGCATGACCTCTCACGAATTCACCAAGATCTAGAAAAGAAAGGTTTGCCGATAATAATGGTTTGTTTACTGACAGTAGCATAAGAGTGAAATCATTGAACCGTAAAGGAAAGTGATTGTTAGTATGATACACGAGTTACTGTGTACTGGCAGTGCCCTGTGGATAACTCGCTTGGTGTCAGTGTGGTTTGGGACGATGAATACAGCAGCGTCATTGGGGAGAGCTTAGGTGCAGTCAGCACAGTTTGCGTTGACAGCGGTTTAACTGAGAAGAGTTCAGGTGTTATCTGAGCGTATCGAGTCGCCGCATGATGACAGTATTGCTGATGTGATCCCAAACGAACTGCTCAAGTTTTGTTATGCTATGCAGTCACAACAACAAAGACGAAACAATCGTCCGGCACTTCTCCCGATTTTCACAGTGTCGTCCAACTATGCATTAGATGCGACGACTCAATTCTAACAGCGTCAGCGCACTGATGATATCTTTGGGCCACTTTGGTGTGCTGAACCAGGGAACCAGGTCAATGCGTTGTTCCTTCTCATCCACCACCTTTTTGCTCTTGGATAGACGGAGGCTATATTAGACTTGTCTTCGCTATGCAAGCAATCGCTTCTGATAACTTCTGCGGCGGGAGTTTATTTTTAGTTTTTAACACCTCAACGACTGTTCTTAACTTCCTTCGGTGTTTTTTTGGCTGGCGTCTACTGTAATTCCCTGAAACAGACTGATTAATGGTGCTTTAGTTACGGTTTTGATCAACCGTCAGCCGGTTCATCATCCGCTCTCATTGCTCCATTAGTTCATTACTCAAATAATACTTGCTTCTTAGGCTGTTCCTGAATGAATGAGATCACCGTATTATGCTCTTCGGGGAACATATTAATCTGTTTCTTTAATTTTCAAACATCATGTCGAATCCCACTAGCTTGGACCAGTTTTGAGCTTTACAAGTGTTCGTTGTTAGACTAACTTATTGGTTGTCTTACCCTAGTTTCTTTATCTTGTTTTCCTACGCACTTGTAAAGCACAAATTTATATTGACAGATGACTCTCAAACGCATTTTCTTCTAGTTTCCCAGTTTTGTTACTTAGTCGGCGGCTGTTTTGTTTCCTCAGTAGACTTTAATCACCTCGGTTATTCCTTAATTCTTCACAGAAAGAATCTCGCGTTTCTAAACATGGTTTGGGGCGTTTGGATTCGTGCGTCGAACTCATGGAAGGTATTTTGTTTATTTGTGCAGCAATCTACCCCAATACTTTACACTTCGTTTCTTGACCTTACTCATTTTCATTTCTCGCGACTGTCATTTTCTAGGTCTCATCTTATTCCACCATGAAAGCATCACTCTTGTCAGTACACTTGACAACGATCCGCATTATACATGGTTCAACAGGTGACACACAAGCTTGAGTCACTTGCTCCTGGTCGCACAGTGCCCCCTAACATGCTCCGCGATCGTTTATATGCGGAAAAAGTTGAACTGATTCCCTTCTTTTTTGGACGCAAAATAGGTCTTCTGTACCAAAGATGTTTGATCCCTGTGATCTCGTTTAATGTCTACGCTGAAAAGATTACTTGCGTTCATTGCAAAATCTGTCACGTGTAACAGAATTCTAACTTGGTCTAGTGGTTTAGTTACAACCACATTTTGCTGAGTTACGCCATGGCCCTTTTCTGGCCCTATCATTTAGGCGAGTGGTCAAAGTTCTGGCCCACTTGGTCTCAATTTCGCCTCACTCGTTTAACGCGCGATCAAAGCCCCCCTTCAAATCTCGATTATGAACAACAGCAGCTTACTAACTTAGCTACGTTTGCATGGGGGATAGTTTCCATGCTCCATTTATGGCGGAGCTAGTGAACCCGTCGGTCGCTGGTTTGCTACCGCTCAACGCAAGCCAGGTGGCATCTGACCAGTATGACACACGCCTGCGATTGATTTGGCCCGCTAAACACGCATTATCTGTGCCCTTGCACCTGGCTCCGCGCTATCATGCTATCGCATCCTGCCACGACCATGTGGTTCAGACTACTTATCGGAAAGTTAAAAGTTGATGTTCCTGAACAAGTCCCATCTCTGTGTTTGGGTAGTTAACGTGCATAATTTTCTTTACGAATTATACGTTTTATCCCCTCTGTCTTTGATTGATTGCTAACTCCACCTCTTTATTTTGACAAGCAAGTGATCGCTCTAACTGCAAGTCTTCTTGAGTCGCTTCAGCGTTCACGCCTTCTGGTGAATCGATTAGCCTGCGAAACTCGCTCTCTGTCTGCATTATCTGGAATTGGTGTGTTATCTCCCTGCATCTAATGCTTTGTTGTCACGATTAGGAATGCCTCTGATGCACAGTGTAGTAGCCATCGATACTATAGATTGTGTCTGTTCCAAACCTTTATGAACGATTTCCCTAGTGTGTCCTCTTCATATTTCCTACTCTCTCTCTCCGCTGATGATGATCTGCACATATGGCTCACCAACGATACAGTGAAAGATCACAGCACTGCAAAGGGACCACGATAGAGCTTGCATGTGGTCAACTGAGAACGTGTTGCAGTTTAATGCAGCCAAGTGCAAAGTTTGGAGCCTACGCCATCAGCGCACTCACGACTGTTCGCTACGGCTACAAACTCTGCAGCGCGCTTTGTATAAGAGTGTTCCCTGGTTCTCATGCAAGACGACGGACAGAAAGAGCATGAAAGAATGCAAATCAGCATTTTGCCCTCTTGCGCAGTGCATCCGAAAAATTCGACTCTTCAATTTTTTTTAATGGCTTGCTCTGTTTGTGAGGCTGCACGTGGAATACACTATTTATGTTTGGCAGCCCTCGCAGAAGCGCCATTTTACCGCGCTCAAGATTGCACAACGCACGTATACAAAGAACTTTAATGTCTTATTCTACCTTCCTTGTCAACTTAGGCTGGAACCTCTATGATTATACAGAGGGCCTAATCAGCGTCTACAAGACGATCTCATAGTGATGTGTCAGATCCTGGAAAACTCAAACTGCTCTTGCAACTGCTCTTGCCGAAACGCTTTCCATAGTTAAACAAGCGGTACAGCCAATTGGAATGTTGCCGAAATGTTTCCTCTCTCCGAATTGCTTCCCAACATGTAATCAGTGTCGCACCCCATCACCATTCGAGAGATGACTTGACAACGCGTTGATATTACCTATCGAATGGCGACATTGGCACAAACAAACAATGCGGTCATCAGATCCACATTAAACTTGAGGCATTATTATTCGCATTTGTGCTAATGTAAACCTCTTTATGAGTTTATCAACACGTCTTATTTTATTGACCTGTGTTTTCATCTTGTAACTTTCACTGACCATTCTACAGGATCTGACAAGCATTTGTTTTTATTGTCCTTTATAAACTATTAATCCAACTGAACTGTACAACCTGAGGCACCTGATTGGTGGACGGCTTTCCTCAGGGTTGTTCACTTTATTTGAAGCGGAGAATATAATTCCTGTAGAATTCCTCCTCTGCATAACCACATACTAACATCTGCACATTAGCTTTAGGGTTGGCAACTATTGCTAGTCGGTGGTCGTTTTGATCTATTGTACATGCACTTGTTTGCAAACATATTGAGATTGTATCGTTATGGCTCCACTCAACCTCATCATTGATTGTTCTGATTTCAAATTTCGCTCTTCTATTTGCTGATTATGTTTGTCTTTGATTCTACACCACTCTTCATCCGCAAGTATGAGCTCTTTACCAGCGCTCTTCGATTTCATCCTATCGGCTCGTGGTTCGCATTCCGAATCAAACTAAGTGCGACAGCTCATCACTCGACCTGTCGCATGTTATCTTTTTCCTCCCAAGCGTATCACCCAGCTCTCGATTAAGTGTTGTTTCGCTATAGAGTTTAGATGACCTGGTGCACAGCGGTGGTACATAACGTTCAAGCGTTTCTCAGCTGTGATCCAGTGAGCCCCTTTCTGTCCGCGTGTCTTATTCGCACGAGTACGCTGCTTTCCATCACTCCAACATCGATTTACTGCAGCTGCTTAGCACTTTTCATTCAGGTCTCTTATGTAGTTCATGATGCTCCCTTTTAGTGACCTTTCTCGTAGCTTTCACACTGATTTGTACTTTCGGTGAGCCAAACCGTCTTTCATCTGCTTTGTCGCTTCTGCCCGTTTGTTTCACTCCCCTCCCCTCTTTGATTCACGCTAGCAGGTGATCACGGTGCACACGTAGCACTCAAAAAGAAGCGAGTGGATGTTGTCTCTTATGAATCTGAAGAACTCAGTGCAGATTGTTCGGTTTGTGCCACTGATACACAACATCCAAATCAGCCATTCGATAAACCCACCAAACCTTCCGATGTATTCACTTTGGAGCGACCGCCGTGCAGCATTCAGCCCGGCCAGCCGCCTTCACCTTGTAGGAGCATTTCGCCGCCTGTTTCACTGCCTTTCACCAACAGGGCATCGACTGACCCGAGTAAGGCACCATTCGTCGTCTTACCCGATGCGGACAGGTCTCTTGGTCTTCGCGGAGGTGAGGCTCTTTTTATCTTCCATAGAGCATTTTCGGTTTTTTAAACCATGTATGTTAATTCGTTTACTATCTGTGACCACCCAATTTCTCCCACCTTTCCCATCGTCAGACCGATTCAGTCGCAAAGACTTGGTATTGACCGTCATGGCGCTGCAATAAGCGACTGTCTTTGTACTTCATGGAAACTTTGGCGATTGACATCATCAACTATGCTGCATTCCTCATTCCCATCTCAATAGTTTAATGCTTAAATGTCTCTCTGTGGTGTTTTAACTCTAAGCCTAGTGTGAACTGGCAGCACTACCTCGACCACATGGACGATGTAGCGGGGTTCACGGTACTTCATTGCCAGTAGGCTGCACCATGCAGACTGCCATATTGGGCATCAGTTTGGCCATTAAGTTAGCTGCACACACACTGCTGTGTCGTGACATTGCCAGGAATACTGTTCACCCCTCGCTATTGTATATGTTAACCACTGTGTGTAAGGTTTTTCGATTGTTTTGCCTGGATATGGGTACCACCAACTTCCTGATTTGACTGTTACATCTAGTCTTCTTCCTATTGTGGTCTCTTCTATATTCCTGTTACTACATTCTCCTTCCTGAGTATGTTTATCTTAGAATTCGCGTTATCCATTCATCTACACTGAAGATAAAATTACTTCATTACGTAACCGCTCATTTCTTTGTAATATTATTAGATTCCCTGACTCGTTTTCCCCACATCGTTACTGATTGCTTGCTCGTATCACACTTGCTGTTCTTGATGATTACTGCCCGTTTTGTCCCCAGCATTTTCATGTATAGAGGCCCTCCTACTCGCAATTGACCGGGAACGTTTAACGCTATTAGTATTATATTTTACACCTCGTACGTAACGGACGTTCTTGTACGTTTTCAGTGGTCGCTTGGTTGCGGCGGCAACTGAGTGCGTCCAATACTTGCACTTCTCCCATGTACATCAACCCCTCGACCATGCTGCTGCGCTCGCAAGTTTTTGCCGATTTGTGGTCCAGAGGTAACTACTTAACTACATCTTCCTCCAAAATGTGCGGCGACTTCCTCGTTTATCCAGGTGGGTTTCTGTGCCTTATCTGCTATCGCATGTGGCTTTTTAGATGCTCTCTGGTGGTCAACTCCCTCGTTTCATTGGTCCATGTTATACGTGTTTTTGCACTGGACCCGGCTGAGTGTATTGTTTAATGCGTTCAACGGCCACAGTGCCATGGGAGCAAATATTTACCCGTTAACGGCTCTATTCCCCTTACTTCGTGAAGCATTTACTAGCTGTTTGCATTCGACTTTTGGAGCTTATGAACCGCGACGCAAATCTCTCCACACCACAGACGTGCATAACCTTCCTTGGTTGGATTACTCCTTTCGCATGCCTTTTAGCCATCTTTGTTTATTTACTTTGTGTCCTGATGAAGCAGTTCTTTACGTCAACTCTCCTTAACTAAGCAAAAACATCTCGAGGAGATAAACAGACTAAGTGGTGTTGTCGTTCAGCGTGTCCTCAGTCGGGTCTGTTTGAGTTTGTCTAAGATTTAGACATGGAACTAAATCACAGCCTTAAACCAAATCAGAATGTTTACACCAACAATAGATAGACAAATGTATGAACCAATGGGAGTAATGCAAAAATAGAATGTACACTAAATTGGCGACGACTTATCGTTATTGAGTGTGATAATTGCAGTCCCCCAGTTGCGAGGTAGAGCTCTGCAGCTGACCTAGGTCGCGAAATTCGAGATTACAACAGAGTAATTGCTGTAAGCCTTACCCTATCCTGTCCTCTATTGTTCGAGGTAAGTGAGAACTCACAAGCGTGTATGTGTGACCACAAGAAATAGCTAGTGTTCTGTTGTGTGTTGGTAATTATTTTCCCCTTCGTCCCCTGTTCTGGACACTAACATATCGCGACCAATTCATTAATGCGTCGGGAATTCTACTTGTGCCCCTGCCATTCGCTTTGACTGTCACACGATACTACGTCCAGACGTCATCGGGCTGCTGCTGTCAGTGAACCAAGATTGATTACTTGTCTGGATCTCAACATGTGTACTTGAAGACGAGAGCAGTGCAATTGTATACAGTGACATTTGACCTATACTTCAAGATTGTTACAATTCGAGAGCAATCACAGAATGTAAGTAATTCATCTGTCAAAATGGAACGTGACAAGATAAGAACAGATTTTAGAGCTGCCTGTAATGAAGACGAGCCGCAGATAGATAATCGTGTCAAGGTTGTGAAAGTTCGATTGTTCTGTCAGGTTGAAGTGTGACGGCTGCAAATCTGTCAGACTGAAATGTCGCGCTTACATACCCAATCAGATCAGCGGTTTGCAGTCCTCTCTGACATGATGGAACATGGTTATCATCATCATCATCATCATACACGTTAGCTAGAGGTGCGAATCACCCCTCAGCTACTGTGCTGCAATACATAGAAGAAAAAAAGGAGAAAAAGAATGCAACTGGTGCAAGCCAGCTTAGCTACCGGTAACAGATGGGCACCGTTCCGATAAGCTACCAGCCGGCTACTGTGAATCAAAAAAAGTTACTATGCATAATTATATAGGGTTAACTAGTGAGATCGTGGTTGGAAGGAAGGCTAAGAAGGATGGGGTGGGTCAACGAAACTCACAGCACGAACGCGATTGACGTCGGCTCCTAGCCATATCAGCGAGTGTATCCAGCCGAACCTCTTCATCGTCTTTTGAACCCCAACCAGGGAGCCGAGACGCTCCAACCGAGACCAGCTCAGAAGTGAAGGCCTTCATTCCTCTCGACCAAGTCATCGCTTGGTCACCCCTTCTCTTCTTCCATCCACACCCCCGGCGCGCAAACAATGCACGTCGCGGGAGTCGGTCGGCTGACTTGCGTAACACGTGGCCGAGCCATCGGAGCCTGGTGCATGAAATGACGGTGCTGAGCGGTTCATTGCCTTTTCCTGTGCTGTAAACAAGACGTCGAACACACTCGTGCCTCAGCAATGTTCCCACCAGATGTGAGCTAAATTGCGAAGGCACCGGTGGTCGAACGTAACTAGCCTCTTTATGTCCGCTAATCTAAGGGGCCAGGTTTCACAACCGTACACTAGGGTCAAACCTACCGCTGCATTGTGCACTCTACCCTTCAGGGCGAGAGTGATGTCGCGCCGGCACCATAAGTGGCGAAGGTTAGCAAAAGCGCCTCGAGCTTTTGCTATACGGTTCGTGATCTCATCTTCAATCCCACGGGCGCTGATACAACTTCCCAGGTAGTTGAATTTCCGAACGACTTCTAGCTGATTCCCACCAAAGATCAGCGAGGGAGGCGGTACAGACCAATCTTGGAGGAAAGCTTTGCATTTCGATGGTGCAAAGCAAAACCCGAAACGTTTGACAGCGAGTGCTACTCTGTCCAGTGCCGCTTGGCACGTCTGGGAGCTGTCACAGATTTGGGCAATATCATCAGCATACTGCAAGTCAAGAGGTCGTTCCCCTGGAAGCAGATCCACACCTTCTAACTCGTGTCCTGTAAATGCGATTTCCATGACTTCATCAATAGCGAGGTGGAAGAGGAAAGGTGACAGCGGGCATCCTTGTCTCACATCGTTAGAGACATTAAAGGGAGAGGACGGCTTGCCGTAAGCCTTCACTCTGTCCGAGCTACGCGCATACAATGCTCGGATAATATTTACATATTTCTCAGGTATACCTTTAATGAGTAGACAGTCTCTAATTACACGTCTATCCACCGAATCGAATGCACCTTTGATATCGAGGAACACGACAACAGTGGGCCGCCAATATATGTGACGGTGCTCCAACAGCTGACTCAAAGTGAAGATGTGGTCAATGCAGCCAGGACCTCGACGAAACCCGGCTTGCTCTTCACGAAGCTGGCTTTCACAAGTGTCAGTCAGTCTGTGAAGGATGACAGAGGCAAGCAATTTGGTGACGAAGGAGATCAGATTGATTCCTCTTTGAGAGCCGCAATCAGATCGTGAGCCTCCCTTGAAACTTGTGACTATGACGAAGCGACTCCACTCGGTTAGGACAGTTTCCTGTTCCCGGTTTTAGTAGTAACTCGTGTAAATCATCCACCGGAGTAGCTCCTCCGAATTTGAAGAGTGCTGGTACCGCGGCTTTATGTGTCTTCAACAGTCCGATCTCACGTTCGACTTCTGAACGAGAGGGTGGATCCAAACGGACAGCCCAGAGAGCGGGCCGGTAATTGGCCGGCGAGAAAGCTAATAATTCCGACCGATTAAATTGCCTTAAAGTGTTCAGCCCAACACTCTAAGCGTTTCGATAAGTTGTGGATATTCTGTCCATTCTCGTCATGTATAGTTTCACTTACCCAAGTCTCCTGCTGCCCGTTTCCCGTACCAGCCGGAATAACTAATGATGGTTACCAAGGGCAGCGGCCATTTCCATCTCGGAAGCACGATAAGACCACCAAGATTCACGATCTCTCCTCAGGCTAGCACAGAGTTTCGCCCGGAGCTCTTTGCGAGTTTCATTGTGTTCGCTTCCAGCCGGAATCTGCCGGCAAGCATCGATAAGTTCCAGAGACCGCGAAGAGACCCAATGTCCATGTTGGCGATTAGACTCACCACATGAAGATTTGCCTGCTGCTAGTAAGCCTTGATGAACATGCTACTAGTGAGCTTCAATTGTCTCCAGTGAGTGCTTACTCCACTCGCATGACAACGTACTTTGATAGGCTTTCTGAACAGCTGACTTTGTCGGTAGGCTTGTGTCAATGCTTTCACAACTGCGTCTTGGGCGTCCACCGAAACGCATCCGCATGTCAGCACATACAAGTGCATGGTGGGTGTCCACACATGTGCTCCAAATCGAGCGACAGCTCTGGACGCAGCCTCTCCATCGGTAGCTGATCGCAATGTGATCGATTTGCGTCCAAGTCTGGTTCGAGGCTGGTGGGCGCCAAGTCACCCTCCGGCAGGTGCTGTGTCGGAAATTAGTGCTCGCAAGAAATAAGCGAGCATCTTCACACAAATGAAGTAACCGCTCACCGTTATCATTACGGGAGCCTACACCATGTTGGCCGCCCGGTTCATCAGTGGATAATTTTCCAACTTGAGCGTTAAGATCCCAGCCAGCACAACAGTGTCCGTGCTTCTTCTGTGGCGAAGGAACGCAGTCAGTAGCGATAGGAGTCGCCTTTAACTGAATTATCGCTACAGTTTGTGGATGCAACAGCATGGTTTTCCTTGGATCTGACGCTGTGGCTATGCAAACACTGCTGTATAGACTTATGCATAGCACCGCACGGTTCGGTATGTACTTTGCATCTTCAAATTGCAAAGTACTGTTGCGGAACTTGACCTACACACTGGTTCCAGCTATCACCGAACATCTACTAGAAATGGTGCCTCGGTTCGCTTACATTGGCAGCTGTGTCACTTCTGGTGGTCACGTCACTGAGGTTACTTCCCGTATCGACAAGGCGCATGTGACTTTCCAGGGGTTAATCCACTTATGGAAACGGCGGGATATCATCTTGTCAGTGAAAGGTGAGGTGGGTAATATTGCGATATGGCCAGTGTTACTGTGTGGATTAGTGACCTTGCCAGTTCGCAGTGAAGACATTAAATGGTTGGTCATGTTTGGCCACCTTAGCTAGCGGAGTATTGCTCGCATCTAGTGGGAACCTCGAGTGAGAAATGCTGAGGTCCACCAGTTGGTTCTAAGAAAAAAGCCTTCTTGTTTCTCACTGGAGTGTTTGCTACATCTTGATCGCTTACCGTGACTAGGCCATGCGCTCCGTATACCCGTTGATCGGCTTCCTCCATGTGCATTATACGCCGTAGCTGCACCAAGTTGGGTGAAACCGCGAGGTGGACAGTCCATGACATGGCATAGAGGCATGAGGTAATTTATTGAGAGGCTCGGTCAGGCTGGTACGTGTGGCCTTCGTAAATGAAGGCCTCGAAATGGTCCACACCAATAGTTAGAGACGGTATCAGGTATGGCGCAGTCACACAGCCAGTGGCGTTCTTGCACTGTTTTTTGCAGCTGGTTGTTAGTTTTCGTTCCATTCTGTTTAGTTTAACGTACTT